CCTTTTTTGTCAAACAATGATGAAAATATGTTTGAGAACCTTGGTTTTGCAAGTTTTAGTGTAACTTTCTTAAGTTATTTTTGCCCTAGGCTCGAATAATTCAGACTAACTGTAACTTTAAAAAGCACTGAATTTAGCAAAAACTGCAAAAAAATAGCTGAATTCAGATTTCGCTGACTTGTTGAGTTATTGTCGCTTATCATGTGAATCATTAAATACTAACCACATGAACGTAACTGCTAAATTGGGGAGTCCTACAAAAGTTAATTTGGGTTGGCTGTCGACACAGATACGTAGACTTTTGACAAAAGACGGTTTGCTCAAATGATAAAGAGTTGGGCGATAAACAATTGTTAACCATTGCGTTAACGGTCGACATAGATAACTAGAATTTGATTAGAATTAATTTGACCGTGTGGTAAAATTTTGGGCAATGAATATTTGTTCAATATTGGGTGAACTGTCGCCATTTTTGCAAAACTTAGAATGCAGAAATCTTGCTTTTTTCTTCCTAAGGTATCAAAGATGTAAGAAACTTGCAAAATGAGAAAAATGAGAGCAAACTTCCCAAGAAACTTCAAAAAAAAGCTATATCTTTTATTTTTTGCAAGATTCCTTGCAAAAAATTTTACAGGAGTTGAACTCTGAGAATACTGGGGAAAAATCATAATTACAGAGTTAATTGCGATTAGCTCTTCCTAGCTGGAAATGAGATCTTAACCAAACTCAATAGGATATGGTCGAATCACTTGATCGAAAGCCATCTCCCACACCGTCGAAACATATCTGGAGCACTCAAACTATACCTAGACTACGCTCTTAAGATGGAGTGAACACGATTGAAACATATCTCGAGCACTCAAGCCGCACCGGAGTTCCATGGATCATAGTCGATTATAATGGAAAAATGTTGCTAAAATGTTGTCATTAAAATCCATTTTTGTTGCAAATTTAGACCACGAAATCGATTATATTGTCATTGTAATCGATTTTTTTCGTAAAAACACAACCCATTACAATCCATAATAATGGATTATAATCCATTCAAAATCCATTATAATTGATTTTTTCTTTACAATTTTTTGCAAATGATTTCTGCGTTACTCATGGCCTTCGCGCAACCTAAACCTACTCAGATTAACATCCCTCACTTTTCCCCTATCCGCATTTGCCCCCCCCCCCCCTCACACTCGCATTTAAACCAATCCCATTCGGTTATTTCTACGCCAAACCCCCCACGTTACAGTTAACCCCAACATCCCCAACCAATCCTCCCCCGTGTCTTTTCCAGTTGCTTTTTCCTTATAAAATAATTCTCATCCTCTTGTAGGTTTCAATTTAAAAAATTATTTTATAGTTGATTAATTCTAGTTGATTAATTTTATTTGGTGGCCAAAAGCTCTCTTCTATTCAATGTTGAAACCAAACACGAACACAATACAAAATCAAAAACGAATCCGACTGTCCATAAACTGGTCTCGAATAATTTTTGGTTAGTGAAACATTGGCAAACTATGAGTTTTAGCTGATAATTAGGAAATTTGTATGGAATTAATAGGACTAAATAGCCTGCCTCAATTGAATTTGGAACGATTTTGTGGTGCGGGATAATTTGCCAGGCGTAAATAATGCGCTTTGAGCTTTCAGCATCAAAGTATCACAGCGATGTTATAGCCATGACAGTCTTTTACTGAGCGTTTCACAGCAGTTTTTAAGTGTAGTGATGAGTGCGCCCCTTCGGGATCGATCCCCCAGAGAAATACTTTCGAGTATTGGTCTGTATAAAAAAACAGCACGAGCATTACATTTTCCAAAAGTCAGAACAAAAAGAATATTGAAATTGCATTACTAGCAGTTTTCGTTGAACTCAATTGATGAATTAATTTTTTTTACTGTTAACGGAACTGTATGACTAGCTTTTTTCCATAAATTTGTTTGAAAAATGATTTTTTTCAATTATTAAAGTTGCAAAAACGTCATTTTTTGATATTTTAGTAGTGCAAAATCATTCCACACGATGTTCCAAGGATAATCACTGACTATAATGGAAAGTTGTTGTCTAAAACTATGTCATAATAATCCATTTTTGTTGCAGTATTTAGACGACAAAATTGGTTGTATTGTCATTATGATCAATTAATTTAGACGAATAACAGTCCATTAAAATCTATCACAATGTATTATAATCCATCAAAATCCATTATAATTGATTATAACCGATCATAATCTTTCCAATTTTGCGGAAAATTATATGCAAAAAATTGCAACACTTCTGCGTTACTCAAGGCCTACTCTCAATCCTAACCTACTTAATTTAACCCGCCTCACTTTTTCCCCCATCCGCATTTGCCCCCCCCCCCTACACTCGCATTTAAACCACTCACATACGTTTATTGCTACGGTCACCCTCATGTTTACTAAAGTTTAACCCCAACCCCCCAAAACACAGTTAACCCTAAAATCCACCACCCACCCACCCACCCCTCCCACAGTACACATTTTTACCCCCATTCGCCATTTTGACCACCTCACCTAAGTTTTTTGTTCCACCCACTCCCCCCAGTTTTTTAACCCCGCCCACATTTAGTAAACGGGGGATAACTGACGAGGGGTAACTGACGAGGCGTAAACTGTGGGGGGGCTAGAGCGGTAAAGAGGTGATGGAGTTTACGTAGAATAGAAAAAATGGAGAAAAACTTAAATAAAAAAAATCTTATGTGAAATGTAAAAATTTATGAAAAGTAATAGGCAGTAACTGCACGAAACAGGAAATGAGATAAGATTGAAAAAACTTTGCAAAATTCATAAATTATTCTCAAAATACTTTATAATTGATGTAATCGATTATAATGGATTAAATTGATATAAAAAACACTAGGATTATAATCCATTTTTAAACTTTATAGATACTGACTATTAAATGACAATATAATCGGTTATTTTCTATGGAACTCCAGTGCGGGAAACTATACCTCGACTACGCTCTTAAGATGCAATGAACGCGAATGGAACATATCTCGAGCACGGGATTAAGATAAGTTGATGGTGGCTGAAATTTAGCATGAAAAAATATTCAATTTAAAAAGTCTATTGAAAAAACAATCGAAGAGTTTTTTCAATACAAGGTCAATTTGTGTGTTTTGTTGTAGGCGGATTCAGTAACAAAGAACGCTCTCTTTGTTTTTCTTTTGTTATGTCGTCTTCTTTGATCGTTCCGACAAAATTATATTTAACAAAATAAATTTGTTTCAAGTAGTGCAATAATCCAATAAAACAGAGAAAGTATCATTGATAGAGCACCAACTTGAGCAAGCGCAGAAGGCAATTCAACCTGTTGAAACGCCGCTGAGAATTTTTTATTAAGTACTGTCTTATATGGACCTGATTGTTTAATCTAAGTAACATTTATACTGATAAAAATTTAACTGATTTAAAGAAAAAAAATAAACTTCAAAATTTTACAGTTACGCATTTAATTGATATATTTTTACAGTAGTATTTACAAGCAAATAAAGTAGCAAAAAAACAATTTTCGAATTTGAAAATTCTATTCCAAATTATTTGCTTTATTTTAGTTAGTACGATGTTTTTTTTGGGTGTTTGCTTTATAGTTCAGTTATTAAAAGAAACTGCTCAAAACTTTTTTACCAAAACAATTTTTTGAAGTAGTCGCAATCAACTAAAAAAGTATCTCTGGTTTATGCATAAGATTGTATTTTGACTGGTTAGGCTCAATTAAAATTTCTTTAATGATATTCATATTGAAATTAATTAGAGAAATATATAGTGTCCGTATTCGCACAGATATTAATTTTTTGTTATTTCACCTTAATGTTTTTGTTGTTAGTGATTTTATTCTTCTAGAGGTGTCGAGTGATTTGTCTAATTCTTGTTTTAAAATGAAATCATTCACATTGTCAATTTCAAGTTCTCGTCTTATTACTTTAGAGAGTAATTTCAGCAGTTCGTATACGTGTAATTCATTGATTGAGCAAATTCCCTGCGTCAACTCCGTATACTAAAACACCGTTTTACTGCTTGTAAATTCTAATGAGAACAGATGAGCTAAGAAACTGTCTTATTTGATAAAAAAAGGATATGAATAGATTGCATTTTTTTCTTAATGATTCAATGTCGGTTGAAGGTAAAATTTTGATCCAGAATTAATCTCAGGTATTTAACTTCGCTTTTTAGTTCTATCGTATTTTGGTTCCAAGTAAAACTTTCAAAAAATTTAAAAAAGGTTTTTACAAGATAAAAGTTTTTCAAACAAGTTTTCAAATAGCTCAATCAGACAAAATGATTATTTTTCTTTCATCAATGAGGCAATGCGTCTCAGAGCTTCGACACAAAAAATACGCGGCGGCAGAAGCCAATCAAATCAGTAAGACTGTCAAAATCAAATATGCTTCGCAGCTCTGAAAAAAAAACAATATGCCAATTGTAAAAATTTTTATGAAAAAACATTTACAGGAGAAATTGTGTTGATATTTTGTTCATTAGCCGATGAATTAAATCAAGTCGAAAAGCTTCAAAAATACGATTCATTTTTTTTTGAAAAAAAAAACATGTTTAGAGCAGTCCAAACATGGTTGAGACGTTCGAAATTGGTCGAGGAAGACTGAAAGATTTTCAAATTTCCTGGTATGATCGATTGATAAAATGAGTCCCCAAATCCGACACAAATTTCGAATTTTGAACGTGAATTTCTTTTTTTTTAAGTCCTAGATTAAACTCTATGAGTCAGACTAGACAAACTCAAATTTTTTCAACAGCTTTTCAAATGAGATTTGCGATTAGTTTCTATCGCAGCTGGAATGACATCTGAAAGTTTAAACGTGATTTTTTTTCGATATTTTTGAAAGCTTATAAAAGCCGTGGTTATTATGCGCAAAAAATGTCGAATCTTTAAATATGGAGTCTGAAATAGTTAGTTCATAAAAAGTTCATAATACGTTATTTCTCGGAAGCAGAAAAAATCAGACTAAATTTTATTTCAGACATCCTGTGCAACAAATGGAAACTGTCAATCCCAGATATTGTCATCTCAGTGGTCGGAACTTCCGATCGTTTCCCCCTCACGGCTTCCCAGCTGACCCACTTCAAGGGGGGATTCTGCAGGGCTCTCTCCAGCTGTAGAGCGTGGGTGGTGGGTGGAGGGACTTTACATGGAGTAGATGCAGTTATAACGGAATGTGTAAAAGGTTAGTTATTGTTCTACTAATTATAGGTTGGATGGGCGTGTTCCGTGTTTTTAGCAAATCAGTTAAAAAATGAAAAATGATGGTTCCAAACTTAGAGTACTATAGCATGTTACTTGTGGACCAAGTCGCCAAAACAAATCGCCAAAAATTTGGTTCAGTTTTTTTTGCCATACGTTTTGTACACAAGTTCAGCTTCCAAGAGTTTTTCAAAATTAACTACAATATTTTTTCCCCGCTTATAAAGTTTTATACCTGAAATATTACAAGTTCTGGAAAACAATGCGCCTGAAGAGCTGTCTATGGAGAATAATGCAATTTAGCTGTCAAAAAAGGACAAACAAACATAATAGGTATCGTGCAAACATCTGATAAGCCAAACATGAGAAAAACTAAAAATTATTGCAAAGATCCGAAAAACAGCTTTACCGGGCCAACTTTCAAAAAGAACCACCAAGATTCAATACCCACTGTTTCGCTAAAAAGATGCTGTATTGGCCAAATTAATACTAACTGCAAATATGATGCGAGCTTGCCAACAGAGGTCACCAACCTAAATAAAAATCAATCCCCCACACGCCATATAAGGATAGATTTTGCACCTAATCAATAATGGCAAATAAGCTTCTTTCAACCAATTTGGAACGATTTATAAGGCTGAATAACTCTCCGCTTACGCGTTAATAGCGCGAAATATTTCGCGCGTTAATAGTCCAAAATTAGCCAAACTGGCAATGTTTAAACCCCCGTAATTTTAAGAAAATTGAACACAGGTGAAATATTTACAAATTTGAGCTCAGGACAACAATACCTTTCGAATGATATTTAAAAATTCCGCCAAAAAAGGCTAGTTAAAAAGTCGAAATTTGTCTGATGAAAAAAAACCCCCTCGAGCACAAATATTCCGTTACTTTCGTATCGAAAGTCGAAACAACAAGTCTCTTTTTTGAACTTTTTTTAATATCAAAAGAAAGGGCGTTTGTAAAAAGCATATGATGAGTCAAAAGTACAAAAAACAATCACACACTCTGGTGTTTCTGCAATATCTGATCTAAAAATTTTATATTGGTTGCAAAAAATGATACTTTTGATCATCTTGAAACGAAAATGTGTGCGCGAGAAACAAAATCGGTACAAAATTTACGTTAAAGAACAAAAATTAAATAAGTTGACCGAATTAGTTTTAAATCTATCATGGAAAACGCATACGACTGAAGGATTAAACCAAACATATCAGGTGCTGAAAACTGTAGACATTTTAAGAAAAGTTAGCCGCAGTGAGGAAAAATAAACACAGAAATTACAAAAAAAATCAAAACAAGACTGCTCGTATCAAGGCGAAGTGCAGAATGTTTCGACTGCCTTTTAAGGTTAATGGAGCAGTAGTAACTATAAAAAATCAAAAAAAAAGGAATGCATTTTTTTCTAAAATTTGAAATTTTTTTTATAAAAGTCATCCCCCCAAACGCCATAGAAGGTACAAAGAAGGATAGATTTCGCTCCTTGTAGCATATCAATTATGACAATTAAGCTTCTTTCAACCAATTTGGAACAATTTCTGAGACGGATTAACTCTCCACTCACGCGTTAATAGCGCGAAATATAACGCGCGTTAATTGTCCCAACTGGCCAAAATTGCTATCTTTAAACACCCGTAACTCTACGAAAATGATCACAGGTGAAATAACTTTTCAAATTTGAGCTCAAGACAACAATACCTTTCGAATGATTTTAAAAAATCCATCAAAAAAGACTAGTTAAAAATTCGAAATTTGTCTGAAAACAAAAAAACCCACCCGAGCAGAAATCTTCCGTTACTTTCGTATCAAAAGTCGGAACAATAAAAACCGCTTTCAAACTGAATAAGAGCAAATTTTCCAAGATTTTGTATATGCACCAATTTGAGTAAGGTTTTTGATAGGCTACAATTAAATGACGTCAAATTACTTCTTTAACCAATATTTGTTATTATGACTTTCGATACGAAAGTAACGGAATATTTGTGCTCGGGGTGGGTATTTTTTTTCTTCAGACAAATTTCGACTTTTTATCTGGCCATTTTTGACGAATTTTTTTAATATCATTCAAAAGGAATTGTTGTCCTGAGCTCAAATTCGAAAAGATTATTTACCTGTGATCATTTTTCGTAAAGTTACGGGGATTTAAAGATTGGCATTTTGGCCAATTTGGACAATTAACGCGCGATGTATTTCGCGCTATTACCGCGTAAGCGGAGAGTTAATCCGTGTTAGAAATCGTTTCCAATTTATTGAAAATAGCTCATTTGCTATAATTGATTTGTTACAAGGAGCGAGATCGATTCTTTTGTACTTTATATAGCGTGTGGAGGGATGATTTTCATTAAAAAAATTCATATTTTAGGAAAAAAAGTTTTTTCATTTTTTGCTTCATAGAATTTTTCTATGTTATTTTTGCTCCATAGACCTTAAGAGGCAGTCGGAACATTCAGGGCCTCGCCCTGATACGAGCAGTCTTGTTGGGCTTTGAATTAGACATAGAAGGAATATTTGCGTTGTTTCTCACACTCTTATTCACAAAATGAAAATTGTTCGCTGAGTCAGAATCGGCAGTCAACAATACATTTTGATTTTCTCTCGAATGAATGAGAACCAATGCATGAAAAAAACGAAAAATTATTTAAATTCAGAGATGGGTTTTTCTGAATTTTTTATTTAAAATACCTCAAACTGTTTCAGTATTTATATCAATTGAAAGTCGTTTTTAAAAAACTGGGAAAAAAACGATTAATAATTACCGGATTTTTGCAGTGTGCTTAGCTTAAAAAGTCTAATGTCGGATCTATCGTTTACTCGATGGCTGTCACTTCCGTTACGAGTTTCCGTCCATTTTTTGGTCTTTGAAAATTGATCACAAAAATACAGCCAATTTTTGTAATTAAAGTTAGAAGCGTAAGAATTAAACTTGTCTCGAAACACATTATTGAACTGACGCAGCAGCCAAGCAAGGCGGAAACTATTGGTGTGTTATTTTTAACCTAATTTTTCAAACAGTTAATAAAATTGTTATTTATTTTTGACTAAAATACTTTCCATTCCGCCAGTATGACTTAGGATAAAGTTCTGAATCAAAATCAGGCTTTTTTCCTGAACGAGTATTTTTTAAATGTCTCAGTTCCGCTGTTCGCTTTTGTCCAGAAAACTAATGTGGTAAACATGATGCAGTCCAAATTTTCGAGGCTATGATAGACGCAAAATTTAAGATGAAGTCAGAGCTTGGAATAACGTGTCTTTGTAACCTGTTTTTTTCCTATAAGTAACTAAAGATGACGTTCTTGAATCTGTATCGTAACCACTGTGCTATCAATTTGCTGAGATACATTATTTTTTAGGCGTTTGCCAAAGAGGCGGATTTTTAAATCCCAACCAATTTGACAAGAGTAAAGTTTAGCCCCCTTTTTTTCACAATGGCTGTCCTTTCAAGGGCTACCGTCCGATGCTGCAGGCCAATGCCGTTTGCGGTGTAAATTTTGCAGTTTCGATGAAATAAAATAGTACACCCAGGAGGGCTGAAGTAAAATCTTTGGAATAGTCCTATAAATTATTAACAATGATTTCAGCCATCTTTTCTATCAAAAGTGGATATCGAACAAGAGGTATTTGCCCGCACTGGAATTCCATGGATAATAATCGATTATATTGTCATTTCAATGTCAATATCTATGAAATTACAAAAAAAAATCGATTATAATCCATCAAAAACGGACTATAATCCATTAATTTGTATATCATTATAATCCATTATAATCGATTATAATCGATTATAATCCATTAAAAATATTTCCTATATTTCTTATATTTTTATGCCAATATAATCCCTTATAATCGGTTATAATCAATTATAATGGATTTTTTCGATAGATTAGTCATGAAATTTACAAATTTTTTCAAAGTTATCGCATTTACTGTTTAGTGCAGTTGTTACGTATTAGGTTTCATAAATGTTACATTTCTCTTTTCATTTTTTATAATTTTTGTCTTATATACTCCGTTTACCCCCCCCCCCCCCCACTTTCTGAAGTCATTGTCATAAAAAACGCTAACAACAATTTTAAGCTCACTCTAATTTTACTGTAAATTTAATTTTACAGTATGCGATCATTTGGTTAAAGGTTTTTTTTGCGATTTCTACTACTGTTGCGAGAGTTTAACGCAGCTCTCAGGGGCTATATATAGTATAACAAAAAAATTCCACAAATCGAATGTTTCTTAATTCTGTTTTTGGTTGTCAGACTAAATTAAGTCTTGAGTTTTCTTGAATCACGCTACAGATTTTTATAAGAATCAACTGAAAAAAAGTAAATACTATTTTCATACTATTTTTAGGCCAAGGAAATAAAATGAAAAGCATTTTTTTCCTAGTACGAAATTATATGATCGGCATTCTGGATCCAGTAAAATCACCAAATGTTCACAAGTAACTTCGAATTTTATAAGCAAACGAATTTGTTTCTGAAGATACTATTTTTTTAATCCATTACACAGCCCAAAGATTTGATTCTATTTTCGTTACTTTGTTGAAATTGAGTTTACAAAAATCGAGAACGTTCTTGCGAGAAAACAAAAAATCTGACCCATAAAGTGTGACTCAGTGTTTTTCACTGCTCGCAAACTACTGGCTGACTGTTTTTTTCGTGTTTTGTTTTCATCTTCTTGGTCGGTCAAAAACTAAGTTATTTGAAAATCTATACAAATTTTTTTCTTGTTGAAAAGAACAAAAAAAATTTTGATGAAGAACTGAGAATCATTACCAGAACAGAAACTCTGAGGAGAATCTATAATAAACATGAGAACAAAAATAATTTGCATCTATTTGATTCGTTCACTGATTTGAAGTAGTCAAAATGATCTGTAAAAAATTGGCTATGTATTTCATATCAAAAAGTTTGCAATTGATTGTGTTTTTCCGCATAATTGACAGCTTGTAATTTCCCTGTTTTACTGTGTATATTTAGAGCAGATTTCACAACCAATAAAATTTTGTTTGTATTCCACATCGTTTTCTGGGTAATTGAACCTGATTTGACAGACCCGAAATAGAAAACTTCATTTTTTTTTGTTCGGTTTATCTGGTTATTTCAAAACAACTTTTTAAATCTTGCTTAACCCAAAATACGACGAGCTTTGTGAAAACCGTAGAAAACAGCGTGCCAAAAAACTTACCCAAAAGGATTATTGGAACTCGGATTTTTTCTGCCACTGCAATCAATTAACTAGAGACGTAATTCTTGCTTAACGTAATTTCAGGCAACTTTCATTCTAGATTCACACTTTTAGAGAATGGTGCAAAACCTGAAACAAAGGAATCTTAAGGAAGTGGAGTTATTTTTATTGCGGTTGTTCATTTTTTTCTGTTGTAGCCTATCATTTTCAAATCTAGAAATCACAAAACTTAGTTTTGAGAAATGAGTTTAGAAACGTTTTTCAATATCGCCAAAAATGACTTTCCAACTCCTTAGTTCTCGTATCATTTTTTCAGATTTACCTACTTACACAAGAATTAACCATTATGTAATCTCAATCAAATACAAAATCGTTATTGACATACTACAACGGGTAACTTAGAGAAAAAAATGTCTAAAAATTCATTTTTTCGAGATATTTCCTTGATGTGAAGATCAAAGCTGCATTAAAAATAGCTAAAATTTTTAAAAATGTAAGCAACTCAGTAGCGGATTTAGGGAAAGGGACAGAGGGGGGGGTGGTTGGCGAAGTCGATCCTGTTTTTTGGAAGTAATTTTTTGCCGATTTTACATGGTAGATGGTAAATTCAATAAGGTGGATTGCTTTTCGCTGACGCATTTTTTTCCTGCAATTTTGCTGATTTTTGTGTTTACTCTTCTGTTTTAGCGGGACTGAATAAAAATATCTTTTATTTTCAAGCCAAAACTTATAAGTATACATTCTTTGAAAATGTATGTTTACAATATAGTTCGGCTTGGGAGAATACCAAAAAGGCATCAGCATATCGTGTGGCATATCCATGAGCAAATTCCATTCGTCTACTTTTCAAACTAAGATCATATAGACAAAAGGACCGCAAAATTGCTTCAAAAATCTAATACGACCGACCAAATCGCTGCTAGTCGGGGCATACATGGGTCTTTCTACCTATCACTAAGGCTTTCCTATTTTCATTCTATAGATAATTAATCAATGATCTACTCGTAAATATCTTTATTATTTGTAAAATATAAATTCATAGGCGAGAATAAAATCATCTTCTTAAGATTATAAAATATCATGAACAGCAAGTATTTTATTGGGTTGGATTTTATTTTTTTGCTGAGGTGTTTGACATTTATCTATTTTTGTTCAATATTGGTTAAAGAGCTGGGAGGAGCTGAAAGTTAACCTTTAGAAAGCTCTTATAAGCAAAAGAGAGCGGTGAGCAAAAAAACTAACCTTTCTAATCAAACGTAGTCTTTTTGTTCAGAAATGCAGATCTTGGAGTGGATCCACTCGAAATCGCCGAAGTTGTATCTGATTGCATTCACCAACTGGGACTGCATAGATTCAAAGACTAAAGCGAACGAATGGTTCTTCACACAACAGAACTCAGGTAATTTTGCTTAGAAAAAAAATCACAAGAGCATGATTAAACTGGGACTGGGAAATTGTTCAGCCTTTCAGTTTAGTTATCCACAACTGAATGATTAAACTCTGAATTTGTTCAGCGTTTTACGGAGATCATATGTTGTTCCGCCTGTTAATACTTTTTTTCATGGATTTTTTTAAAAATTTTTACCGGGGTATGCAAGGCCTCCTCGCCATCAAGCAACGAGCACTGATGTTGATAGTCTTCGAATAAGTGAATTTTAGGCGTTGAAGTGGATATATGACCTCATAACTTAACAGATCAATTTATTTTGAATATATACAATTAAAACCATGAAAGATATTCACAAAAGTACGACAACGGTTATTCATTTGAAATGAAAAAAAAAACAACAACGTTAACGAGTCAACAATGGAGATAGTCAGTTTCAACAGTTTTTATCGTACTTTTTAATCTTTGAAGCTAAACAGTTTTGTATTTTGAAGAGACTAACATAACATTTATTGTTGTTATGATTTAGAGTTACATCCTTGCATAACTTCAGGTACCTCCGCTTCTGAATTAAAAAATATGTTTTTTAAGTTTTTACAAATTTCCGCTAGCATAAATTCAATATCCCTTCAAATCAATTTTTGCACTCATCATATAAAATTATTTTGGGTAGTCTTTTTCATAAAATGGTGCACCTTGTTCATTCTCGAACTTTGAGAACAAAAATAAATAGCCTCACACAAGATTGGTAAAAGACCCCATTTTGAATTGTTCAGGAAGTTTTGAAGTTATTTTCAGATCCTTTTCCTTACTACATCAGAAGAAGGAAAGCAGCGTTTGATGAAACCACTCAGAATCTGACGGCATCTCTCAACCCCTTCTTCCCACACATTCTGGCCATACAGGGGGGCGTCAGGGGTCAACTGGCTCAAGAGTTAGAGGTCAGTAGGAATTTATAATAAATATATTAAATAAATTAATATTCAATAAATGCAAACCAATATACTAGGGGAGAACGTCAAAGGCGTTACGACTGTCATGTGACGCGTCAATTTGAGGCCTTATTTGAGTTAGATAAAAGAAAAAATTGAGAGAAAAGGTGGTCCCCCCTAAGCTACTGCAACAAGTTATGACTATAACTAGCATCGAGCTAAGTAGTTGCGCGAACCAATCACGTTAAACTTTAGACAGCGTGACGATCATACAATGTACTGTCGTCAAAAACTGTTCTAAGAAAGAGCCCCTTCGGACTCTTGTCACCCCTCCCCTAGTGGTTAAACATCAACACAGAAAAAACAAAAAAAAATCCGCGGTTATTGTTCAACTATTTCGGTAGCGCCATCTCCGTCTCAGTCGTGAAAGTCTGGAATGGCCATTTTTCAGTCGCGAAAGTCAGGAACTGCCAAGCTTCGTTCGCGAAATTCTGGAAAAGCCAAAAATTTGTCGCGAAACCCTGGCAAGGAGTCACCGGCCTCGACCCGGGTAATCACGAGAGTTACAAATCCAGTTTCTTCAGCCAAACAACTTTTTAAAAAGCAAACGAGAAGAATTCAAGTTTGTTTGAATTCTTTTTTTTATTTTTTATTTTTTTTTCCATTTTTTACTTTCATCTAATTTTTTGCGGGTGTGGTACAAAGAGATCCAAAGATTGTTAGAGCAAATTATCAGCACATTTATAAGCTTAATTATTATATTTTTGAAACTTTTACTACTCAAAATGAATAGTAATGAAGAGTAACTCTCTTGAGTATTCACGCTGAATTCGATATTTTAAAATATATCATCCAATTCGTATTGACTTTTGTGGTAGCTCGCTTTGCGTGATGCGTTTTTTTGCTTGATAAACACGTGATTGATTAGTTCCTCAACTTCTTCACAGTTCGTGGTCTGAACAAAAATACGGAAAGGTTTTTCTTTAAAAAGGTTATCTTTTTTTAACGCATTCATTGTTTTCACTGATCTAATGCTCGCCCTTTCTAACCCGGTTGACAAAAAGTTGTTCTCTCGTCCAATTTATCTCATAATAAACTTAGAATTTTTTTTTTTACAAAACTAAGCTTTAAGAATGTTACGTGATATGGTTTCTTTCTTGTAAAAAGTTGTAAGATAGTGACCTTTCTTTCAAGACTTTTTTAAGATGGGAGCTTTTCCTCAAAAATTTTTCTCAAGTACTATAACAGAAACTCGTGGTTCAAATGTCTCGTGTCAGCTATGGGCTCCCTAAAACAGTTCTAAGAATTTAAAATTCGGTTTTGGTTGAATTCATAGAAATTTTACCGGTCATTAACTTAAAATTAATTTTTTTTTGAAAAACTACACCCATAATCTTTTTAGGTCAGATCGACTACCGAAGAATTCCTATCAAAAGCGTTTGAGTCGGAAGACCCCAACAAAGACAGCAATAAAAACAACAAAAACAACAAGAGTAACCCGGGAATGGGTATTCCAACTGTACAGATCCTAATCGGGGGTCATTTGAGTGACCTGGCGAGGGTGGCCAAATCAGTGGCATGTCAGACACCTGTAGTCATATGTCAAGGTAAGTCATGCCTTGGGTTGGTCTCCATACACAAAAATGCAGGTAATACAATTCCATACAAAATTTTGCTTGCCATAAAACTTAACGTAGAGTTTTTGTCAAACAAATCCACACAAAAAAACTTGTCATACAACTCGGTACACCCATGCTGACCAAAAATGCTTGTCAGACAATTTTCTTATATGGAAAGAACTTAAAGATTTTTACAATTCAATAGGTACAGAAAATTGTAAGTGAACTCTACGGCAAGCATTTTTTCGTAAATGAAAATTAGATGACAAGCATTTTTCCATATATCAAAAAACTATTATTCATCGGGTTTTGCTGAGCAGTTTTGTTTTTTGTCTAAAAGCACAATATCCAGGGGTTTTATAACACAAGAATCATCCATGGTTGAAGGGAAGAATTTCACCGATACTCAGCCTTGAGTTAAAACCGTGAGGTATTTTTTCACAGATCACTCGGAAGTATGTACAAAAGCCTCAAATTGATATGGCTAGAAAAAAATTTCAGCAAACAATTTTTAGTCGGAATTCGTGGCCTGATTTCTTAGACATATTGAACTGTATCTTATAATGAAAAAACATTATAAACTTCAAGTTTAGAATCGCACAATATGTTCAGGCAATTGATTTGTGTGGTATGAAAAATTCAGCCTGGACTGCGTTATAGCCAAAATAAAAATGAATTTTTGCAAGCAAGTTTTTTTTTAGAGAAAAGCTTATTTCAACATGAAAGTGATATTGCAACTGAAAATTGAGAAAATTTTACTTGAAACTTGGATTTTTTTTACTCTGGAAAGTTTTTATGCAGCACTGTAAAAAATGCTTATCATGCAATTTCCAGATACTTCTTGGAAATTGTACGATGATCATTTTTTCCATACACTCTGTGTATGAAAATGTAAGAAAAGCATTTTTCTTTCATGGAATTTACGGTAGGTGTTTTTGAGATGTCAACCCGGGAATTTAGTTTCTTCCCGCACCAGTGTTTCAAGATTATTAACCGATCATAATAGATTCAAATCGTCAGACTCCAACAAAACTTTAAAAAAATTAGTTAGAACCAATTCAAATTGTGTTGTTATCTAAATTTTTGCCTCAGAACAATAAAAAAATTAAACAGATTATAATCAATAATATTTATGCTTGCGATTAGCTAGCGTTATAAAATCGAAATTTAGACTTTTTTCGGGTTAATGACTAGTTTATCTAAATCAGTTGAATGACGTAGGATTCTGCTAAAACATTTCATCAATCATTGGGTGGATACTAGTTACTACTGGTCTATGCTATAACTAGAACTCAAACCATTGTCCGATATTAATTTCAACGATTTTCCGATTCCAGGCTGGTTGACTGAAACTCTGCCGGTTTAGTTGCCAAATCCTGAAGTCTACTTTACATACGCTATTTTTATAGCTATCGTGGATCTCGTGTGGACATTACTTGCAATTTTTCCAAAATAATTTACTTGATGATATTTTTCGTTTGAAAGTCAGCTAATAAAGGTCGGCGGTTTTAATTCAGTCGGATTTTTTCCTCACCAATTGAATATCTGACCTTTCTTTGTTATCTATAATTTTCTGTCGCCAATTTTCGGATGCCCATGGTTAACCTCAGTAGAACCAGTTGGGAAAATTTCAAAAATTGTTTACTCAAGAAATAAATATATTTTTTAAAACTTTTTTTCGTTCTCCACTTTTCTTCCTTTACTTTTTTTGTACTTTTTTTTCGTTTTCATTTTATCAATTTTGTTTTGAAACAGATGATTTTATAAATTCGACTTGAAAAAGTAGAGATGAATCGATCTAATTTTTAAATGTGAATGAAAAGATGCCGGAAGTTCAGTTTGCCAAAATTGTCTAAAGAGTCAGCTTGCCGAAGCTTAGTTGATTGATTACTTGATTGATATCATCGTTTCTGACGTCCTTTGTGTGTTCCAGGGTCTTAAATGTTTCTTTTTCCTCCTTTCTTGTAGCGGGCATCCAGCCTGGCCTCGTAGCTTTTCATATCTTCCAGGTAACTGACAGGCTGCCATTGTTGTTCCGTAATGAAATCTTTGTCTTCGACCGGACGAAAATTCGTTCACACATTACGTCAGTTCTGTCATTCATAAACAACATCATATTCCTCTTTCTGGAAATTGTCCAAGACGTCGAATAGTTCCGTAGCACACATATCGGCCAAATTTTCTTGATTGAGGAATTAGATTGAGTTGAGATTTGAGAAATGAAGACCACAGTATAGAAAGTGGAGAACTTCTTGAAGCCAATTTAATCAAATTAAATTTAGACCCCAAATTGTTTGATTTACATGTGTTTATGAATAACCGCATCCAAACTTTGAGGCCATAACTTTTCCCTCCTGGGCCGCGATCCCAAACCCCCCCCCCCAACCCCGATGGAGGTTACCGATTTATTTATCGACTGAGGCCGGTCGAACACATGTCAGATTTCGACCGAAAATCCATAGTTGAGAAGGCCTTATAGTCGAACTCAAATTTGAAATATAAAGTCGAGTCGGTCGAAACATAAAGTCGAACACAAAGTCGAAACATAAAATCAAACAAATTTGCAACACAGTCGAAATCAAAGTCGACACAAAGTCGAGTCGGTCGAAACAAAGTCGAACAAAATTAAAGTTTCGCCAAGAATTTAATTTACTGTCGGAGGTTTTTGCTTGCAAATTTGTAAAATAATTGGAATTAGCAAAATAAACCAGCAAGAAACCAGCAATTCAAGTTGCAATATATGAATGTTTACTGTGCAGTTAGCTAGAACAGCATATTTGCTGATCATATACAGGACCGCCAGGAGAAGGCCTACACATCCTCCCAAGGTAAAACCTAAGCAACATGTTTGGGGCAACAATTGAAAAAATCGTTAACAGAAAAAGCTACAAGTATTTATACATACATACATACCTACATTAGAACATACATTCACGATACAGGCATATAATCATACATGCTTTTATGCATACATTCATTCATGCATAAATAAATACATGTATACTTGAACACATGCATAATCGCATACATACATACATACATACATACATACATACATACATACATACATACATACATACATACATACATACATACATACATACATACATACATACATACATACATACATACATACATACATACATACATACATACATACATACATACATACATACATACATACATACATACATACATACATACATACATACATACATACATACATACATACATACATACATACATACATACATACATACATACATACATACATACATACATACATACATACATACATACATACATACATACATACATACATACATACATACATACATACATACATACATACATACATACATACATACATACATACATACATACATACATACATACATACATACATACATACATACATACATACATACATACATACATACATACATACATATATACATACATACATACATACATACATACATACATACATACATACATACATACATACATACATACATACATACATACATACATACATACATACATACATGCATACATATATACATACTTACATATATACATACAAACATACATACATACACACATACATACATACAAACATTCGCACATTCGTAATATATACGTACTTACATTCATATCTTTATACATATTTACCTTTCATACGTAGATAAATTCATACATACATACATACATGCATACAAGCATACTTACTTACATATATAATTACATACACAATTACTTACTTACATAGTCACGTCAAACATCCATACAAATATCAAATTGTTTTATGTGGAATTGTTTTAAGCCTACGAATCATACTCGGGTGTCAAACTAAGTCATTTTTGTTCTTGGTCAAAATTTCCCCTGAATCGAACTCAGTCAAAACGTTTTATCTCGGTCGAAATTCTTCGGTCGAAAAAACTGCTCGGTCGAACTCGGTCGAAGCAAAATTCATCGGTCGAACTTGGTCGAAAGGTTTTTTATGAAAAACGCTACTGGAAATTTTTGATCACTCGATTGACCAAAATCTAATTGAACAAAGTTGGTCGTTTTTGAACAAAATTGAGTTTTCATCAGATGTACTTTTCAATTAAATATTTTTAGTTGTTATTTTTTACTCGTTATCTTGTAATTTGTTTCATGTAGGCTCTGGAGGTATCTCAGACATCATCTTGTCGGCCCTGAAGATGTCGGGAGTGACGGCTGACGCCTCTCAAAGTACAACCACTCTAAGACCCTACCAGGTACATATGGGAGGATTTGATTGTTATACTTATCTCTACCTAATGTTAAAAACTGACACAGAAATTTACGATTATATCTCCTTCTTCTAGGCCCTGAATCTTTTTCAGCAAACGCTTTAATATTTTTTCGAATTTTTATTGAAAATTTGCCATTTATGTTTAGGTAAACAAGCTTTTCCAAAGTTGAAATCTGACTCACCATCTTTAAATATTGCAACAATGACACAAAAATGTTACAAAAAAAATTTAAAAGAAAGAAGAAACAAAAACCCTTTTGTGCACATCATAGGAGAACAAGCTAGTGCATCAGTTGAAGGCCTTCATGAACGATTGTCGGATTAGTAAGAGCAGAAAAAGTGAAGAGCGTGACAGTCCAGAGGGAAGACTGTTCTCATCCCAGCTGATGGATCTAACTCCTCAAATTGTACATCTGAGGACGTGTGTCAGAAACAGGTGAATGTTTTTGTACTCAATTTCGACTTTTCTGAGGGCCATAAGTTTTAAAAAGTTTTGTAGTTTAAAAAAGCCACCAGTGTAAAAAAGTTAGACGTAGCAACTTGTGCAGGGAAGCTTTCAACAACCTGTTTTTCCGTAGAACCCAAAGTCACAGATTTCGGAGGGTAGTTTTCGAGAAAAATTGAATAGTTTCAAAAAACGGTCAAAAAATTGTAAATTTGACTTTTCTGAGGGTCATTACTTTTGAAGTGAAAAAGTTTGGGCGTAAACGCTTATAAAGAGGAGATTCTCACAATTTGTACTTTCGATTGGAATTAAAATCCCAGATTTGGGTAGTTTTCGAGAAAGTTAAAAAAAAATTGAAAAAAACGATCGGAAAAAATTCGACTTTTCTGAAGGCCATAAATTTTTGTGTAAAAAAAATTTGGGCGTAGCCGCTTCTGCAAGAGAGTTTCTCCCAACCTGTTCTATCCGTTGAACCCAAAATCTCAGGTTGGGTCGGGCATTTTTTGAGAAAAGGTAAAAAACCCAAAAATTTGGGTAAAAAATTCCCCCACTCACTTTTTCGAAAGCTGTAGGAAGTAGGGTAAGGTAAAAAGAGACAAGAGAATTATGCAGACGCATAGGGTAGTGGGCGGACTTCCCAATGAAACTTTTTATTTGAAAATCGGTGGAGTAGTTTTTGGGAAAAACGAAAATTTTCCACAGCGTGCAAAAAAAATTATAAAAACCCGACATTTTCATAATACCTGTATTTATCAAACAGGAACTTGAAATTTTTTTACTTTGGTAGGCCAAGAAACTTATTTTAAATATAAGTCTAATATGATAAGTATATTTTTTTATGTAAAATAATAAACATAATATAAGTAAGCATATATATTCGTCTAAAAATTTGTCTTTTATTCAATTTAAAACTGCAAAAAAATTGCTAAAAAACAAAAAAAAAACATTAAATTTTGTACCAAAAGTATGTTGTCAAAAACAAGTGAAGATTTTGCTTACTCTTGCTTATCTTTTTATCAATCTAAGTTCAATTTTTTCAATATTAAGTGATTACAGATACAAAAAAACTAAAAGGTCGCATTTATACTTGATTATAAAGCAACTAGCCAGAATTTTCCGATCGTTGCCGAAGTGGTAAATTGGGTAAAAAATTTTCAAAATTGAAAGTTGTTGGGAAAAACAAACATTGCAAGTTTCAACGAAGATTTAGATATATAGACAAAAAATTAACTTGAAATTTGGTCCGAAATTCCAAAATAAAACAAAATCACACATGGGGTTCAAAAACATTTTCAGGAGAAAGAAACTAAAGCAGTTACAGTCAATGAGTTTTTTAACTGTTTCAGGAAGTTCTTCACGATGTATCGCCTCGACATGCCAGGTCTCGGAACCCCATTGGACCAGTGCATATTACGAGCCCTCTTGACTGGCGCTACAACCCAAAAAGTAGACCCAGTAGCTCTGGCACTAAAATGGAACCGGTGTGACGAAGTTGTCCAAGAAATTTTACTTTCTGAAGGACAAGACATTAACATGCGAGCAAATATTGAAGACTTTGTCACACACGCTTTGCTCGAAAGCAAACTGGAGTTCTTGCAACTTTTCACCGACCTGGGTTTCGAGTTTTCGAATTATTTAAACCGAGCTAAAATGGAATTTATATTTGAGCATTTAATTGAAAATCGTGAATACGCGAAAAGAATTTTCACGTCGCGCGTGAAAAAAAATATAGCGTTGCGTGAAAAACGGATGAACTTTATAAGCAGCGATGGCTCATTTCCAATCAGACTCGAAGACGTGTACTTCGTGTGCTCTCGGTTTTGCGGCGTGAAACCTATAGCTCAGACCATTTTAAACACAAGCGGAGAGGAAATTTTTCCGGGTAAGTAGTTTTATGATTTTTTATTTTATAAATCATGATTAATCTAAGATTTCTTAAAGGCAAAATTGCGAAAAATATTAGTCGTTCTCATGGGCGAAAGGAGGTGTTTTTCGCTGTAGGGGAGTTGATTAAATGAAAAAATCCTAGACTTCTGCTAAAATGCACAGTAGCGGATTTAAGGGGATGTACAATAGCGCGACAAAAAATTTGCAGAATTCTTGGGTCAACATTTTTCAAAAAATTTCTTAAAAAAATGGCCATATTTTGACCATTTTTTCAAAAATTGCCTGCGGTGCGGAAATTTTGGCCAAATTAGAATCTTCATAGTGGTTTTTTAAGTAATCAATTGTTTTTACGTATGACAACCAATTGTGGCTCTTTTCCACTCCTTCTCATTTTTTAAAAAAACTTTCAGTTTCTGAAGGGTTGTTATGTCTATACGAGCAATGTTAACGATGTAATCGATAAATAACAAATCTGCCATTTTTGGTAGTTTGTTCACTGTGCCAGTTTCATTGCGTTATTAAAATGTTACAAGGTAACTACAGTAAGCTATAGTAAGCTAAGTTACTATATGGTAAGCTATAGTACTTTCCTCAAAATTGAATTTGAAAATTTAGGGGGGATAGAAAATAACCCTTTTTATAACCCATTATATTTGAATCTATTTGTTGGGTATCTATATTTAACAGCAATTTATTATACGTTGTAGCCTTTATTTTGCGGTTGCTTTTTTAATATTTGATTTGAGGGTTAAAGTATCAAAAATTACATGCTCAAAAATTTTTTTGGATGAAATGCTAAAATTTTTAGCGTAAGAATACCGTGGCTGTTTTGAATTCCCCAGCTTCAAAAAAATTATACGTGTCGTTATGGCCGATTGCGTAATGTAACGATGTTAAAAATAGAAGTTTGTTCACCATGCAATTTTTATTGCATCATGATAACGTAGAAAAAAAAAGTTTTTCAAACTTGCGATTCAAGTGTGCGATTAAAACTTGCGAAAAAAGCACTACGATTCAGTTAATGCTACAAGTGTTGAAGATGGCCTTTTTCTTGAGCTGAAAAAAATGCATCTTTTTTGAATATTATCAGTGGCTCTTCTGCTCTCAGGATATGGGAAGCCTCTTCGCCAATTGGCCTCACATACCATGATGTTTTCTCAGCGAGTTGCTAATTTTTCAATTGGTGTTGCTTTTTCGTCGGTATAGCAATGTCATTCTCTTTTCGAATTTAAGCATAACTTGGATAAGTTTTGGTAGACTGTTTCCTTGTTAAAAACCGAAGAAAATAAATTCGAACCTCAGATATTGAAGAAAACTTTGCGATTTTTTTTACAAGATTGATTTCTTGATCCGTTGTAAATACTTTCATTTCTTTAAAATCAAATTATTTCACACTTGGAATGCAAACAATTTCCTAAAAATCACACGGGACAGTAATATATTTTTTTGACAATGAGAATTGGAGTTCTTAGAACACTCTGTATGATGCAAAACTAGTGACTAAATTGCCTGAATTTACATAACAGATGACTTTGTTGACAATTTTAGCTGCTTAGTTTATCAGAATACATGTTTTTTACTACAGTATAAATGAAATCATTAAAGAACTTAACAAGACTGTTCGTATATCAGGGCCAAGCCCTGAACTTTTTGGCTGTCCCTTAATTCATATCGAAAAATTTTTTGGACAAAATCAAAAAGTGAAGCTCTGAGTTATACGAAAAAATACAACGATTAGCCAGCCTCAACTCAATTTGGAATAATTTTGATGTGCGTGATAATTCGCCAAGCATAAATTTTTCGTTTTACCTTTTTCCGCATAATGAACAAAATCTTCAAAGCCTGCTTAATTTACTCAAGAACATGGCCAGTTTGGCAGTTTTCAAACCTCCAAAACTTTTAAAAAAATACACTAAGGTAAAATATCTTTTTGAAATTAACCTCAAGAAGTCAATAACTTCAAAAAAAACTGTTGAAAACTTTTATTTATATCGGCAAAATTGACTGAGTAAAAAACCCACCGATCATAAGTATTCCGTTTTCTTCGAAAGTCGGAAGAACAAGACTGCTCGTAATAGAGCGTAGCAAGACTGCTCGTAACAAGACATGCTTTTTAAGCTATATGGAGCAGTAAAAAAATGAAAAAACTAATTGATGTAATAAAAACTAAAAGAAAAATAAAAAATTCAGATCTTTTGTGGAAATGTTCCCCCGCACATCATATTGAGAAAAAAGTGATAGTTTTCGCTCCAAATAAAAAATCAATTATGGCAAATAAGCTTCTCTCAATCATTTGGGAACGTTTTCAATGACGGAATAAATCTCCGCTTACGCGGTAATATCGCGAAGTATATCCATTAGGAGGCAAACTGTGCACTGGATAGGCGCACATCTTTTGTCTGAGTGTTCCTGGATTCCAGGACTCCAGGAACAAGTCTTTAAACATGGTAAATTTTTGTTGGAACACTTAAAGAAATTGAGAGAACAAAAGAACAACAAAAGGATTGCCCTTGTTGTGGAATCCGCTTACAACTCACAAATACACAGTTTGGCCTCGTGATGTCCGGCGTTAAATGTCCCTATTTGGCCAAAAGGGCAGTCTTTAAACCCTTGTAACAATAAAAAAGAATGATCATTAGTAAATTATCATTTCAAATTTAGGCTTAGGACAACAATACTTTTTGAATGATATGAAATATTTCCATCCAAAAAGGCTAGTTAAAAATTCGAAACTTGTCTGAAGAAAAAAACCATCCGGAGCACGAATATTCCGTTACTTTCGTTTCAAAAATCGGAGCAATAAGAAGCTGGACGCGTTTTCAATAGCTTATGTTTATTCTTTGATCAAAAATGGAAGTTCCTAAAGAGTATCAAAGAGAAATCCTTTGTAATATGAGGTAGTCAAATCCGCGATGGGAACGCGTTTCATCCATAGCTTTCAAACCCGCTCTTTCTGCTCCAAATTTTGGCAGAAAAGATAATTCAAAATTGAACTCAGAAGTTGAACTTATTTGGTCTTAGTTTGCCGTGATAACATGATGTCCAATGACATTTATTGAGCCCATTATTATGGAAAAAACTGGCCCAAATCTTCAATCCTACAAGTTTCTGTTTTGCACATACTTAATACTTTATAACGAGAAACTGCCGTTTTACAATCATTGAGACTTTTTCTGATGCACTGCCGTTTTATTTTTAAAATCATTTCAGACCCAATAGGCGCGTTTTTTTAATATTGCAACACGTGTTTTGCCGTTTTCTTTTGGTTCAATTTATCAAGAATCAAAAAAACCTACAGAAAACACAATTTGGCTTCAGAAAGTATCTAGTTCAATTGATGCGGTAGTTTCACTTAACAAAACAATCCGACTTGAGTGGGACAATCAAAAGTTTAGTGGTTGTAAACGCCGTTTTTTAACAGGCACTGTTAGTATACTAACCAAAAAACAATTTATTATCATTATTATTCTTAGTAAAAAAACTCAAGCTCCTGGTTTTTTATTTTTTTTTGGAACGAGATGATTATGATTAGTTTTTAGTATATGAACTAGTATGATTTTTTATGAAGATTTAGTAGATGAACAGTTAAGATTTTTATGAGGTTTCAGTAGAAGAACTGTTATGAATATTTGTGTGGTTTTAGTATATGAACTGTTATGATTTGTTAGAGGTTTTGATTGATGAGCTTTCAAAGTTTTTTACTTGTTACTTGACCGTTTTTAGACCCAGCAAGGGAGTTGTTCCTATGGAGTATTTTCTCGTGTGACCTGGAGATGGCCGAGATGTTCTGGAAAACATGCAAGACTCCTCTGGCACTTGCCCTAGTGGCATCCATGCTGGCTAGACAATGCGCCTCTTTTTTGCCCAGGTGAGTATACTCAGGGCAGTTGTTCCAGCCTTTCCAATTAGAAAAAAAATAGATCGTTTTTTGTCAAAAATTCGAGCTTTCACATTTTCAGAATTTTTTCAGAATTGCTTTCTGCTTTATGAAAATGATCACTGTACCAAAGCGCGAAATAATTCTGGGCTTTGAATTAACTTTACTTTCAGGCAAATTTTAAAAGTGAGATCTGGCTTAACTCTAACCGTTAACATGGTAACTTGAGTTATTATCAAAAATGTGGTTGTTTTCCAGCGAAGAAAACAGCTTGGAAGAGAAGTTTGGCAAGATAGAGAAAGCCTTTCTCCAGAACAGCATGGCTTTCATCGAAAAAGGTGAAAAATAGTGGTTTTAATTTATTTATGCGCAGAAACTAAGTTTCGGTCGTTTCTAGAAACGTCCCAAAACTGCTCTTTTTGTAATATTTCCCTAGTTGGATCTTGAGTATTTGATTGGTTGAAATTATTTTCATTGACAGAAAAACTAGATTCTCAAAAATAAAGAGAAGGTTGAGTTAACAATTCGTTGATTTTGGGCCGAATAACAGAAAAGACACCGAAGCTTTACAACTTAAACAATCAGGGGCGGATCTAGGATTTTCTCGAGCGGGGGGCGGATTTTCAAAAAAATTGACGAAAATTTTGTCGACCTTTTTTTAGGTCGATCAAACTGATTTTCTTAGTTGCAGCAATCTTTGCCTTATAAATCATCAGAAAACTTATCCTTTAAGCAAACTACTTAAAAATTAACCTATGCATGAAAGCTACCACGTGAAAGTTCCAGTTGCAAAAAAAAACGGCCTTGAATTACAACTAAGAGCTCCGCTCAACAAAATAACACAGTCTGGAATGTGGGGAGATAATACAATTGGACTATCCTCGACAGGCCTGTTAAGGCCTACTGATAGCTCCTCTGCGATTCGTAGGAACATAAAAACACCTCAAATTTTATTCAAAAATCAAAATGACTCATCAAAATTCCAATTCCAGTAAACTCTTAGTTTGAGTAAGTTGTATAGAAAATGTCAAATTGTTAGTAATTTCAGTGACCTTGAAAAATAACTACTGATTTTGTGCTCGATGCATGTTTTATTTAATTGCAGCTAAAAAAAATTGCTATTCAGACGATACCATTAAAACTAACTGAAAGCGTTAAACTAATAATCACAAAAATTTTGTTATAGTTTAAAACCAACATCGTTGAATTTAATCAAAATGTTTTATGATTCAATTAGCTAAATTTTCTTCAGCTTTTGGTTTTCAATCATAAATTATGAATGTGTTTTTTCTATAATTTGTTGTAGACGTTTTATCTTTGAACTGTTTTAGCTACGCGAGATGAGGGTAAAACTTGTTTAGTTTGTAATTTGAATAATGTTCACTTGTCCCCCACTTTCAGTAATTGTAATAAGTCCATGGGGTCTGTTTGAAATTTGCCCACCCTGAAGCTGAAACTCAATTTTCTTTAAATTATCCAATTGTTTTGAAATCAAATGTCTATATATTTCAATTTGCAAAAAAAAGTTAAAATTGGTGTTTACTATAATCAAGTATTCGACACGCACAAGTAGAATTTAGCCAATCACTTATTTTTTTTACTCTTGCTGCGTCTGTTAAGTGTATGTCGGTTTGGTTTCCAGTGATTTGCGTGTTTTTAATGCGTGATTTGTTCAATCTAATACCTAATTAGTGATTCTAAATCAGTTGCCACATTAATTGGTATATTTATTGCCCTGATTTTTTTATATTGATTATAGCTGCAAAGACAACTAAAAACCCTGTTATTTGAAATCTAACGCAAAAACTTATAGTTTTGCTGATTAAGATTTTGTAACTTTTAATGGGACGATATTAAGATAATTATTAATTTCGCTTGGCCTAATTGTTTTTTTTTTCATAAATGACGTTTTGCGTGATCGCAAAACATCATAAAATTCTTTTGCGATCACGGTATGATTTTGAATTCAGTTTAGGTCACAGTATCAATTAGTTTCCCTGAAAATAACGCAAGCTACGCTCTCCAATAAAATAAAAAGCACATTGCGCAAAAAAATGTTTAAAAAAAGTTTAGTTTTCAAAGTGTCTAATTTTTAAATTCCCAGCTAAACAAGAAAAAAATGTAGCCAATTTGTTGATCTCGGATCTTTTTTTAGACAAAAAACCAATTATAATTGATTCTTAAATTTGAAAGATCTTTAACGTGATTGTTTGGAATCCTAGCGCGGTCACTTTTTGGCTACGTCTGCTGCAGAATGTGACATGAGCAGGGAAATTTATGTAGCCAAAAAGTGACGCCAAATAGTGACAAGGTGTTATGTCACTTTTGCTCTTTTTTATGTAGCCAAAATGTGACACCAAAACCAAAAAGTGACCTGCTCCATGTCACTTTTTAGAACTTATGGTTAACACGAAAAAGTGACAAGGGTCTAATTTTTTGATAAATACCTGAAGTTCGTCTGAAAACCCTTACTAAAATCTCGAAAACACCAAAAACCACTAAAAAGTATCTTCTTCATTGACTAAACACGGAAAAACTAGACGACAAAGTTTTCAACAAGGAAATTGACTAAATTTAGAATATAGAAGGAAAACAGCACAAGAAATGTCCAACCTTAAAAAAGACCCCTGGCCCCAAAAAAAATAACCAAAAAAACGATAATTAACTGAAGTAAAACATAATGTTTCAACTAAAACCTTTCTCAAGATGGTAATTGACTGAAAACTATAATGAAAAACCAGAAATTGTGTATTTGACGCTCAACCCTAAAATTGGGCTGTAGAAAAAGCCTGTTTTCTCCTTTTCAATGTTTTCGGAAATAATCTGAAACCCGTCTGGAAACACTTATTAAGTCCAAAAAACACAAAAGAGCAGCAAAAAATTTTTACATCTTCGAAAAAAAAACACAAATAACTAGTGTTATTAGCATTATCAACAAGCAAATTGACTAAAATGAAAAACAAAAAGGGAAGATGAGCCCGACCCAAAAAAATACCCCTGGCCACAAAATCATCCGAAAAAAATTCGATATGAAACTGATGTAATATATATTTTTACGGTTAAAAATTTTTTAAAGATCTGAACCGAATAAAAAATTTTAGTGAAAAACACAAAATTGATATTTGAACTCCCGAAACTGCAATTGAAAAAAAACTTATTCTAAATTGTCAACAACAACAAAACAAAAACGACCCCAAAATCAACCATAGCAACTCAAATCAACTTTGAAAAATTGATTTTTTAAATGTTTAAGATTTTTTTCAAACTTCACATCACTTGATTGAGCCACGAAAGGTTTTTTTCAGCTAAAAACGTGTCTAAAAGTTTTCCAAGTTATATCAGGCACAAATTGTGTTCAGGTTAAGTGGTTTAAAATTCAGATTGATGCTTTCAGTGATGTTTCATCTCCTTGATCAATATATTCGTAACTATCAGTGTTCTTTAGGAAAATAAAACTGATTAGAAGACGCAAGCTAATTTTTAATTGCAAAGTTTACATCAGGATAATTTTAGGCACTATGGAGAGTGTATATACACAATTTCATCAATTTGTTTCCAATGGTTGATGAGAAAAACAACCTTGATGCAAAAAAGCCATTACACCAAAAACATTCCTCCGGCTCGTTTTTGAATTGCTCAACTTGTAACAATCACATTGTAGCGAAAAAAGCGTCGTTGAAAAAGACATTTCTAATTACAGAACAGTGATTATCAGAACAACTTAGAAACAAGCCTTTTCCAGCATACCAAAAGCAAGACTCTAGCCCAAATTTGATTTGAAGACATCCTGATATAGCCACAAACGGTTCTCTGGCCAAAAGACTAACTGAGAGTTTTAAAAAAATTATCAGACACATAAAATGTTCTCTTATTGTGGTTTAAAAAATAGAAAAAAGCTGTCAGTGAAGTTTCATCTCATTGAATGATGTGTTCGAGAGTGTTAGTAATCACTCCAAAATTGAAGATCGTGGATCAAGCCAATTTTTTTTTTCACACATTTTCATTTGTTGAAGATATTTTTTTGTACAGTTTACGAAGAGTTCACGTACATAATTATAGTTTCATAAGCCCAATAGATGATGAAAATATGAAAATGGAGGAAAAAATCCCTTAAATATGAATAAAAAAAAATCAGCTCAACTTCGATTTACCCATTTTTTAAAAGTTGCATTTATGTGAATCAGGAGTCGTTGAAAAGTGATTTATAATAATTAATTGTGATCATTCAAAAAAATGGTTAAAACGTTCAATAGCTAACCAAAGGCTATACCTTCGCCAAAATTCACTTTTTTGAAAATTTTTAATTTTCTAGTAAAACTTCATCATAATGGCTTTAGCCACATTTAGTTTCAAGCTAAAAATATATCCAAGAGGTTTTTAAAGTGCATTAGACTTAAATGGGTGTTATTTTTATAGGGATGTCAATTAGAATAAATCTGTCAGTGAAGTTTTATCTCTTTGTATGACACCTGATAAAAAAATTGAAAAAAAAAATCGGCTCAATTTCAATTTACTCAGCTTTTATAAATTGCATTATGATGAACAAGGAATATTTGAAAAGCTGTTTCTATTGGTTAGACGTTTATGGTAAAAACATACAGTTGAAACGTACTATTGCTAATCAAAGGCTATATCTTCGCTAAAGTTCGATTTTTTTGATAAATTTCGTTTTTCTTGTCAAACTTCATCATACTTGCTCTAGCAACCTATAGTTTGAAGCTTAAAGTTTATCTGAGACTTCTTATAAGTGTAATAGACACCTATGATGATCAATTTTACAGGTTTGATGATCAGATTAAATCTATCAGAGAAGTTTAATGTCATTGAACGACATATTAGAGAGTATACAGTGTTCACTTCAAAATTGAAGATCGAGAAATTACTCAAATTTTTTTGTAAACTTGTTTTTCATTTCAGGGTTGCGTTATATATTCTACGACGAATTCGCTTATATTTTTTTAGTTTTATAAACTTAACAGATGACGAGAAAATCAAAATTAAGTTAAAAAAGCCCTAACCTAAAACAAAAAACAATCAGCTCACTTTCAGTTTACTCACATTTTAAAAATTGTATTATGATGAACAAGGAATGATTGAAAAGCCCTTGATAGTGCCTAAACCTGGAACACAAATAAAACTCTTATTTTTAATTTATTTCAGCTGACCAAAGGCTAAGTTTCGTTTTCCCTGTCAAAAAGTGACATCTCTAGGGCTAAAAACTAAAAATGTGGAAAATAGCCCAAAAAAGTTTTAATAAAAAAAAACAACATCACCATAGTGTTCCTCGTTCAAAATAGGGCCTAGAGGTCATTTCTTAAGTAATTTATTTATCAATTCTTTCACCTCGATCAAAGTCGGGTTGTTAGAGTAACTACGATTCATTGCAGATTTTTCATTTAGAATTAGAAAATTAGCCCTGAAATTTTTTTTATAGTCCAGTCGGTTGATTTAGCTCGAGAAGCTATCATAACATTTGAGTTTTTCCAAAAATGGATCATTTTTCGATGAGAAAGAGACATTTAGAAAACTCGAGCCTAGCCCTAAAATTACGATAGACTTAAATAGCCCTAAAACTTTAAACATGTATTTTAATTCATCAGATAAAACATATTCGACCCTTTTTTTCGCAAACCACAAATGGATCAAAAACTTACATTCGCCTGGCCCCAAAATTTTATAGACTGTTTTTTTCCGTTTTTTTTCCAATAGGGTTTCTTAAAATTGTGTCTTATTGCAAGAAATCGAAGTTTCAAGTCTCTCGGGCACCGGGAACCCTTTTGGGCCGGTGGAAAAAAAACGAGTATCGGCACTAACCAAAAAATGATACGGCTAGGATTAGTTCTTTGTCAAGCGAAATTTGAAAATTTTCAAAAGCTCGTCCTTTTTTTATCTCTTTCAGTTCTTTAACATTTTAAAGTTTTATACAGTAATTTGTTAAACTTCAATCAAATATTTTAGAAATTTCTTTAAAAAGTTTTGACAAAACAAAAATAGGCCATATGTCACTTGATGGTTTTGAACTTAATCAAAGTGATTGTAACCAAACTTAAAAATAAATTATATTTGGCTTAATAACTGATACATCTACCGTTTTAATTTCAAATCAGTCGAATTCTTTTTGAGTCTTGCTCAGTCACGCCGTGCGTCGTAAAGCCACGCCGTGGTCCATGCCAGATCCGAATCCCGAGTGAGAGCTTGAATCTAGATGGTGTGAAACGAGTCGCAAAAGTCGCACATGGGAACGCAAAGTTCTGAACATACCAAAGTTAGGTTCCGAAAGGCTAGACATGCAATTGCGAAAATCTGAACGTAAGATAGCAAAAGCATGTCCAGACTTTCGCGAATATATTTCCAGACTCTCACGAACCTATGTTAAACTTTTGCGACCAACATGTGTGTTTAGGCTTTTGCTACCAAAGTTTACGTTCAGACTCTTGCGACCAAAATTTTGGTTTAGAATTTTGCTACCAAAATTTAGTATATCCTGATTTTTCCAAGGGTCGGCGCGGCTTTCCCGATTCAAGTCCAGACTTTTCTTTCCATTGGTTCCGGAACAGGATGCGGCGCGACTTTGAAAATTTGGCCATGAGTCTGGGATCTCGACCCGGGTGGTTTTATCTTTGAGTGATCGGAGTATTCATTTTATAAGTTCGATTTTCAACTTCCTTATCAAAACACTTCCTAATCGACCTTCAATCAAATGATTTTTGCAAAAATGGCACCAGACCTTTTGTTTTGAAAAAATTTTTCCTTTAGGCTGACAATTGATTTAATTCTAATAAAGAATAAGATACATCAAATCATTGAAATTGACTGGAATTTGAAAAAAAAAGTAAGGTTAAATTTTTTGAACTCTTAATTCAGACGTTTTGAAAAAATTAATTTAAAATGGCATAATTTGTCTGCTGGAATACAATTTTTTTTTCGCAAATTTACTAAAAATTTTTTTTCGCGAAAAAAAATTAAATTTTTGTAACGTTCCCAGATTTGCAGTCGCCCTCTTATTTTTAACCGAAGGCAGCGCAATAAAACAAATTGAGCAAAATTTGATGTTGGTCAATTTGTTTTATGTTTTATCTGCGTCTAATGAACGTAATTGTAAGATTTCAGATTATCAAATACTATGAAACATCAATACTATGAAACATAATAGGAGACCATCAAAGTAGAGACAAAAAAATTATACGATCTCCTTCTCAGCATTTTGAAGACATTTGAAGCATATTCAAAAAGTTTTCTAAGCGTTTTCAAGATTTTAAAGATATCGGCGAAAAGATTCTTTTTACCGATTTTAAAGGGACTACGATTTTTTTTAAATCCATTTACGCATCAATCAGTGAATTTTTCGAACACTTTCTTTTTTTTCATTAAATTTATTCGGATAAGTTTATATTATTATTTTGATTTTTTGTGTGTTTTTCATCGAATTCTTTGTAATTCTTTTTCATCGAGTTCAAATTAATTTTTTTTACAGTACTGCCAAATTTTCAATATACGCACTGAACAAAAACATAATCTGACGATTCTATGCAGTCGGCAGAGCTAAATGTGACGACCGCTTAGATATTTTTTCACCGTTCAATTGTCGCACATGCTGATAGCTTCACTTATGTCATGGAAAAAGCGGCAAAACCTTCTTTGTTTTGTGAAAAAAAAAATCGACAAATAAAAGCCAAACTGAATGGGGAAAAGCGGCTTTGTAGATCTGACTTAGTTTGTAAGATTGTAATTGTCTTTAGGACTGAAGATGTTGTTAAAATGTACAATTTTTTTAACAGTCTTTCGAAAAAAAAAATTTCAAAAAAAATCATGTTGACATTTACTTAAAATTATAATTCTGCAGCAGAACTAAAAAGTGGGACTTTCCAGGTTTTCTTTCAAATTTTGCAAAAAAGCTTTCAGGAAAAATTGTTAAATTCTTTATCTCAACACCAGGGGCGGATCTAGGATTTTCTCGAGGGGGGGGGGGGCGGATTTTCAAAAAATTTTCCAAAATTTTGACGACCTTTTTTTTTTTTTAGGTCGACTAAATTGATTTTTCGAGCTCTCCCAAAGCACTGCTTTGCCCCTATTTTGGCCAAATTTTCTGCGCCGCAGGCAATTTTTTTAAAAAAACAGTCAAAAAAAGCCGTTTTTGGGCACTTTTTGAAAAATTTTGACAAAAAAATCGCGTTTTTTTGGCGCGCGCTCCCCTACAAGTTAGTATATATTGGCGCCGAAGGCGCCTTTAGAAAAATTTAAGGGTCGGTTGGCCATAAATGGATTTCTGAAAAAGTATCAAAGGGGGGACCCTTTGGGTTGGCAGTGGGTCGAATCCCTGAGGGGGGGGGGGCGTCCGCCCCCCCGCCCCCCCCCCCCTAAATCCGCCCCTGCTCAACACTCTTTTTTCATTATTTCAAGCAACTCTTCCTGATTTATTCTTCTTGTGTAACTAAACTAAACTTTTGAGTTTTTGCTGTTTTCGAAAACTCTCAACCATGAAACTTTCGAAACTAAGTTCGAAAATAATTTTTTTTTCAGCATGGACTTCAAATGACCTAATGGCTCTCAAACTCATAACACGACCAATCAGAAGCCTCTCTGACATTCGAATAGTAGACATAGCTTATTACATAGGATGTAAGGAGTTCCTAGCACATCCTTGTGTTCAAGTGTATGTTGAGAAGTCGTGGAAAAGTGGCGTGAAGATGAAGTTCTTTCACGTGTTCAAAGCTTTCTTCTTAATTCCAATCAGGTAACAATTCCCCCCCCCTCCCCCCCTGCCCCACTAAATCCACCCCTGTATGTAACACTTACGTTTTTTCGGCTGGTTGACACTACGGTTGGTGAATTCCTCAGCTGGTTGATATACAACCTTTCAAGTATCCCCCTCCCGATTGCAATAAGGGGGGGGGATTCGTTGCCATGTACATACTTAAGTTTAAAAAAAAACAAGTAAAAAACAAGTTAAAAAAATGGTTAAACAAGGGTTAGAAAATAAACAAAAAGAAAATTAATTCAAAATCGAACAAAAAATTTAAATTCTAAAAGGGCGAATTTTCTTTAAAAATGAAATTTTTCAGATTGTTTCTTCCGTGGAACTTTCAGGAGTATTTTGACAGTTTGAAACCGAACCAAAACTCAGACGTGAAATTTGAAGAAGTCGACACTGAGTTTTTTCTGCGCAAATTCAGAGGTGAGCGAAATTCAGTTTGTGTTGATGATTTCAATTTACCCAATTGCGAATCCAAAATTTGGTCTCTGATTCTGGTTTTGTAAAGTTTATCGCAGCTTTATTTTTCTGAGTAGCAAAAAATTAGAACAGATGCACCAAAAAAACAAAAAGCTCAAGGTCAGAATTATTTCAAGATTTACAGCGTTGTTCAAAAAATTTGTTGAAAGCTATTATTATACGAAAGGAAATCAGTGATAAACTGAAAATTGACTTCAAACAGGTAAGGAAGGTTGATTAATTTCGGTCCGATTGGTTGACCAAAAAGGATTTAACCCACAATTCGGCATAATTTATACAATTTTTTTTTGGTGCAGATTCATAGGTCCCACAAAAAAACACATCCCATTTGTTTTAGAAAAAAAACAGTCGAACAAGCCTCGAAATTTTTCATTTGGTCAAAGACTACTTTAGTGTAACCTCAGTTTAAAGTGAACGTTGGGAGGGCTACTTGCTGCTTGATTTCTATCTATTCGCTCGCTTAATCAAACTTCAACCAATCAGAACATTGGGTGCTATGGGACATTTTTTTGAGTCTTATTAAAAATGGGACCTAAGGCATAATTCAATATTTCGTAAGATTCTCTAAATGGATGCTCTGAAAAGATTCAAAAAAATCATGAAAAAATTAAAATTTCAATTGTCGAACGAATTAATTTATATTACGTAGGTCTTGCAATTTTTTCGAGATAGTCGGATCATTGAGGAGCACGTTTGATATGAGCAGCTTTGGTTTCCATCAGTTCGTGCATTGATTACTGAAAATTTTTGGAGCTCATATCCATTGGAGCTCAAAGTCACCCATCAAAGTCACCCATCTAGGTGTATTTCATTATTACACATATGTGGTACCGCAACTGCTACTGCATTTGCAGTAACCATATAGTGGCCTTGGACATGCTGTTCATATTGTTATCTGTATATTATATTATCCTATTATGTAAACCAAGGTCAATTACTACGTGACCTTTATTGCTAAAAATCGAGAGCTTGTCTCTCAGATCTGTGACTTCGTACACAGTCGAACTCGGATAAAGAAATCCAAATAAAACAATACGGTTTCAACTATTAAATTAACTCTGTGAAACCAACTCCGTTTTCATTATAAACCTCAGAGGTTCTGTTAGTTACCACATGGCGCAGCCAGCAGGATCCAGTTTTACAGCTCAAGACAATAGGACCGATCTGGGAATCCCAGTATTCTGGGCATCCGCAAATTCAGATCCACCCTGGAATTTTGAAATATGGCTTGATCAGTTCCTATTAGCTGTTACGGTTAAAGAAAATGTGGATCCAGAAGTAATGTTAGAAGAACCCAAAACTGTACTAGAAGAACCTCTCCCAACTCCTGAACCACCAGCGCAGAACGAGGATGCGCCTGCAATAGCAATGAGAGAAGCCCGGAACAGATTGGCTCGGGATAGAGTGGTTCAAGAAAATGAAGAACGGGTATTGAGAGGACCTAGAGTGGGGCACAATGTATTTTATCATGAAGTTGGAAAACGGTTGACACCGAGATTATTTCTTGCTTTGGGCGCTGAAGGGAAGAAAAAATTTACTCAAAAGAATCCTCAAACAGAGATATCTAAACTGGGGTTTCGGGATATAGTTCGTTTAGCCAAAATCTCATTTGAGAAGACGAAATGTATTACTTACGAGAGATACAAACTGTTCACGCGATCCCATGAACCAAATGAAACGCTGGAATCTTTTCATGCGGCGCTGACTGCACAAGCAGCAAAGGCGGATTTGGGAGCACTGGAAGAAAAGCTGGTAAGAGATCTATTTATTTCCCGGATTAAAAATGTTGTCCTTCAAGACACATTAACTTTTGAAACATTTTCTTCCGAAGAAGTCTTAAAGCGTGCGATAAAATTCGAACACAGTAAACAAACTACCCAAGCATTCCAAAAATCTTCATCAAGTACAAACAACTCAAAATTGTTTTCAAATTCACAATTGAAAATCAAACAAGAACCGATTATGGCAATTGGGAACAAGGGCTATAACTCTAAACGACGAAAACAAAATCAAAATAGAAGAAAACAGTATGAGAACAAAAATACTCAAAAAGCTAAAGGAGATCAAAAACAATGCACGAGATGCGGCAGAGCGTTTGGAGAAGGTCATTTAAAAAATTGTCCGGCAATGGGTAAAACGTGTAAGAACTGTAATAAACCCAATCATTTCGCAAAAATGTGTAGATCCCAGCAAGTTAACGAAATCACAATCGAAGGTTCTAGTTCAGAAGAAGAATGCAATTTAATACAAAGCTTTGATTCATGCGACGATTTTGAGATAATTGCCGTAGAGGAAGATCTCACTTCCATCGAAACATTGAAAAATACATCAACAGACGAGTATTAGCGAATGTGTTCGATGAGAAAAATATTCAGAGGGAATCGTTGACGGAAAAATCTGACAATATCGAAAAAATCGAAATTCGCAGGAATCCAAAATCTCATCAAATTAACGCATTGAAGGCTCTGGTTAAAATTGATAGTCATATTTTGAATATGACTCTAGACACGGGTAGCCCAGTATCACTTCTGAATTGGACGACAACAAACAAATTTTGGAAGGACCCTCGAATTCAAAATTTATTCCAGCAGAAAAGTTGAACCTGCCCGCGCAGTTTGTGGATTATAATAAACGACCTATATTGATATTAGGAGCGTTGAAAGCTAATCTGCGTTCGGCGGGTTGGGAAGTGTCGGGAGCGATGCTACTAGTCACAGAAAGACGTATGCGATGTATACTAGGTCTAGATCTTCAAAGTAAACTGCGAATTCAGACCACTCAAAAATCAGCTCCAACACGAAGATCCAGGTTTGACGTGCTACTGTGCGAGCAGTCAGAAGGTTGGAAAAAAAATTTTTTATATGAAATTCAAAGACCTATTTGATAAACAAGGGGAATAAAAAAATCATACGGTGAATACAAAATTTAAATATCCTTTATGTCCGATTCAGGAAAAAGGTAAGAGAATTCCTATACACATTCAGGATAAAGTTCAAGCAGAGCTGGACAAATTACTCGCAGAGGGACACATCGAAAAACTAGATAAACGTAGAAGCGATTGCTTTATCGCTCCAATTGTCATAACAGTCAAAAACGACAACTGTATAAAATTAGCTTTTGGACGCAAAACCTATTAATAGACAATTGTATAAAAATAAATATCAGATGCCCAATGTGGACGAACTGATCGATGTTGTTAGCCAGATTATCACGGCAACATCAGAAGGCTCTCTGTATTTCACCGTGTTAGACTTAAAATATGCTTACAGTCAAATAAGGCTAACTGCGGAAACAGCAAAGCAATGCAATTTCATTATTGTAGGAGGTCAAGCAACGGGAACATATAGATTTCTGACAGGGTTTTACGGGCTGGCAGACATGCCTGCCGAATTCCAGAAAGCAATGGATAGAACACTGAACCACTCAAAAAATACCTTTTGTTTTCTGGACGATATCCTAATTGTTTCAAAGGGGGAAGCTAAGGATCATGAGAAACTGGTTCGCAATGTGTTGCAAAAGTTGGACGACAAAAATCTCGCATTAAAAATTACAAAATGTGAATTTTTTCAGTCCTCAGTGAATTGGTTAGGCCATAATTTATCGTTACACGGTATAATACCAAAAATTACAAAAACTGAGGTTATTGCAAATCTCCAACCGCCCAAGTCACTGAAACAACTCAGATCGTTCATGGGTAGCATCAATCACTTATCTAAATTCATACCAAATGCGGCTAGTTTAACTGAAAAACTTCGACCACTACTGAAAGAAGAAAATGAAAAAAAGAAAATGAAAAATGTTTGTTTACCAGTGAAAAAATTTAAGTGGGACGATCAACAATCAGTAGCTTTTGAGGATATCAAAAAAGCAGTAGCTAACATCGCTTTATTAAATTATTACGATCCGTCAAAGCAAACCAGTGCGATGCAAGTCATAGCGGCCTCGGGGCTACTCTTGACCAATGGTCTAACCAAAACGAATGGGTACCGATAGCATTTGCATCCCGGTACTTGAATTCTCAAGAAAAAAAATATTCTACCAATGAACTCGAACTGCTAGCAGTAGTTTGGGCGTTAGATCGCTTTAAACATTATTTACTGGGGAAAGAATTTGTCATAGCGACTGACCACAAGGCGTTAACGTCTGCTTTGGGGAACATAGATCTAATAAAACGTATCAATCTCGACTAACCAGGTGGGTTGATCGATTATCACCGTATCAATTTAAAATTACTCATATTCCGGGAAGGGATATGGGTATCGTTGATTATCTGTCAAGAGAGCCCAATGGGGAACCATGGCCGGAATCAGAACTTGACGAGAGATTTGTAGTGACGTCTATTGAAAATTTCCATAAAGCACTCGACTGTTTGAACAGTCGGTTTTGTGAAACAAATCCAAATAGTGCTATTAACATTCTAGAACATTCTAGAACACAAAGAGAAACTAGCTACTGTAAAGACAGCTCATCACGCGGTTGCTATGACAACCAATTTGTTCAAAACTGGACAAAGCTCGACCGGAACGAAAACGGTCAAAGCTTACGTTTTCAAAAAGATCAGAACCAGAAAAACACATTGGACAAAATAGCTCGCGAGAAACAGTCGGTCAATATCTCACAATTTAACAAAAATTCAGTCAGAAAAAACAATACTAAAAGTTCACAACGATCAGCGGAGATGGAGAAAAACAAAACAGGAAAGTCAAGAAAAATGATAATCAGACAGAATGGAGATCGGAGGGAGGACGAACTGACAGAACAAGTGACGGAAACCACCTTTTCCCGAACACGTATGGTGAAGAGAGGAGCTGCGTGCAGTAGACAAGACGACTCAGACAACTCCAATTCAGATGTGCCCCAGGTTGAGTGGAGGACAGTAAAGAAATCCTTCAGGCCTAAAGGATATAAAGAAATAACATCCGGAAATGCAGCAGGAAATGTCGAGACAACTCTAATGTCATTCTGGGACCTCATGGGGGCAGAAAAATCAGATAACCCGAAAAGCTTACTGGAACTAGAAGCAAAGACAGTTCTTGATGACAGAAACAAACGTGATCAGACATTGGAAACAAATACTCGAAGAGAAAATCCCCCAATCATAGAAGTGGACCTCACAGCTGAAAGCCCCTCAGTAAGTCCAGAAGTCAGCATATTCAAAAAGGAGAAGACAGGTCACAACTCCAGAAGAATCAGCTCGCATCAAAAAGAAACGAGTACAGAAATCAGCCTTGACAATCTCACCAAGTTGTTCGATAGAAGTCTATTAGCAGAATTGATATCAGAGGACGCTTGGATGGACAGACTTCGGCGGGTGATTGAGAGGAATGATCGTCACAGTTTCGAGTTGATGGGCCCGTATACCAATCCCCTCTGGCATCAACTCTCTGTAGTGGACGATTGTATACTGGTGGACAACAGGCTAGCTGTCACCGAACAATTGCGCCTAGCAGTGCTGAAGAGGATTCATCGCGGTCACCCAGGTCAGGAAGCGATGCTCGATGTTTCGAAATACCTGTGGTGGCCGCACATGCACAAGGATATTGTCAATCTGGCGGAGGAATGCAGAAGCTGCACTCGCTATGGTAAGAATGCGAAATAAATCATCCCAAAAAATGCTACCAAGCCTCTTCCACTGCTAACGCAGCCGGGTCAAGAAGTTCAGTTAGACTACGCCGGCCCACTCGAAGACTATAAAGGAAAAAATATATATTTGCTGGTAGCAATGGATAGGTATTCTAAATTTCCATCGGTAAAAATCACTAAATCAACAAGGGGAAAGTCGTCGAAAAAATTTCTTTGCTCATACATTGATATCCATGGGATACCCCAATCAATTCGAACTGATCAATTTTCCGGTTTCAAAGGTAAAACGATGCAAAAATATTGTTCTGACAATAACATTGAACAAAAATTTTGTCCAGTTGGAGATCATCGCGGATGCGGATTAGTGGAACGCACTATACAAACCATCAAAAGAAGATTGGGAGTAATGTTACTCGATGAAAACGTAACATCAATAAAATTATGTCTTAGTACAATACTTCGTGATCTTCGTTGGAGTAAACAGAAGACAATAAAAATGTCGCCATTTGAGGCTCATTTTGGGAGATTGCCAAAAACAGAATTTAAAATTCTCAGTGATAGGTTTTTACGAAATTCTGATCGTTTAGATAAGGAACACCTGGAACGTTTTGCGCTGACTGCCTCCCAACTTAAAAAGCGCATTGACCAGTCTTGGGATAGTCTGAAGATTGTCCGAAAAGGAAAAAACAGCAGAGACGTGAGTCCCCTATTCAAGCAACAAGTCAACTCGGCCCAGGATCGGGCAAGAGCGCGGGCACTAAAAGAACTTCTAGAAGCTAATGCCAGATGGAATCAAACACGACGCGATACATCTGCAAATGATTTAAGACGCACGGTAGACGAGACGAGTACTAATAACGCCGAATTACGCAAAGAAATGCTGTACTCGTGGGAACGTGGTTTTATCGAAGATAAACCAGAATTAACCACTAACCAACGCCATTCGTCACCAATCTTGATCAGAAAAGATGAGGGGAGGAAAAGCGGTAAGGCTCTTACGAAACCATTGAAAGGAAGAGTCGTGGCAGAAACGCCCTCCACTGACAAGACAGCAGCAGGGTCGATATGCCGAAAGAGTGACATTGCCAAAGTCAAGGTTGCTGTTCAAGACAAGGATAACAGCAATAACAGACGCTCTCCAACAGGAGAAGAACCCAAGAAAAAGCAGCAAAAACAGTCAAAGCGGCAGTCCGATGAACAGGACGAGGCGGAGAATAGTGGATCTGACGAGGAATTACTGCTAGAGCAGCGAATCATAGATCCATCGGAGGCAAAGCGGAAATTTCAAGACAACCCCACAGTGGTCACGTCAAAAGATACTATACAAGGCGGTGGCCTAAACTTAGCGGTTCGAAGAGCCAAGCCAAACTTGGCCGGTCCATTCTCTAGAACATCCAAGACGAAAGGGGGCACAAGCTCAAAAGATCCCCAACCAATCATTTCACTAAATAAAAGTGCTGCCACGGCAGCAGAAGCTCAAGAAACTCAAGCGGAAATTCAAGCGGGTTCGTCAAACCCAGGAGGCGTACAAAAATCGACTTCTACTCCTCATAGCAGTACGAGAAATAAGAAAAAAATATCACGCAATACATCTCCAGAAACAATTTTAGACACATTCAACAGTAAAGATTTATCGGCAGCTGATTGGAATCGTTTAGCTGACCAAGTGCTCGAAAGAGGAGTACAACGTACGGCGGCAGATATATTGCAATCTAAAGAAGATGGGGAAGATGAGGGAGAATCCAATAACCCTCCGGGGTTTTCGGACGAATCAGAAGTCGAAGAAACATCGGTTCGTAAAAGCGGAAGGTCCAAAAAGGGACCGACTAGATACGGGAATCCGATTAAACATTCGGTAAAGTCGATTTCTTACCATAATGATCTCTTAGACCTAAATCAGGCCGCACTTGAAGCATACCGCATTAAGTTAGCGAACTTCAAACCCGATGCGTCGAATTCGGTGGAAACAAAATTTAGTCTGCTAGAAAAACACCTTTTCAGAAGAAAGTTCGGCAGCGAGGCTGTCGACATCAGTTGTTCCTGGAATGCTTAGTGGCGAATCCCATTACATTTTGAGGAAGAGCATGAAGAAAAAGATGGAAAACGATTCCAAACCAAAACCAACAAAGAATAAAACTCTTTAAACTGAGTATTAAAACTCCTATTCATTATTATTAAAAATTTTAATACAGTATTATTAAATTTTCTTGGCTGAGCGGGGTATGTGGTACCGCAAATGCTACTGCATTTGCAGTAACCATATAGTGGCCTTGGACATGCTGTTCATATTGTTATCTGTAAATTATATTATCCTATTATGTAAACCAAGGTCAATTACTACGTGACCTTTATTGCTAAAAATAGAGAGCTTGTCTCTCAGATCTGTGACTTCGTACACAGTCGAACTCGGATAAAGAAATCCAAATATAACAATACGGTTTCAACTATTAAATTAACTCTGTGAAACCAACTCCGTTTTCATTATAAACCTCAGAGGTTCTGTTAGTTACCACAACATAAGATCTCTCACGAGCAGAATATTTAAGAGATGATCGAAATTCAATCAGAATGCAAAACAAAATCTGAACTCAAACCGAACTGCGTATAAAAAATTTAAGATTTTTTTTTGAAAATTCCAAAGATTGCTTTTTCTAAGTGAATTGTCAAAGTGTTATTGAAGGACATTTCGACGTGCCATTTATTTTCTACCTCAATTTAGCTGACTATTGCGCTGGTTTTATCAATAAATGACATTTGATTTAAGAGGGAAGCAGTTCTGAGTCGGTTAACGCTCAGCTACCTACGTCAGGTAAGTTTTAAAATGATCCAAAAACGGAAACGGGCCAACAAGCTGATTTGGATAGAACTAACGATTAAATCATGCTTAGGTTTGAAAGTTTTCCACCATATAATTTTTTGCATAGCCCAGGAATCATAACATGATAGATCACAGAACAAATTTGTTGAAGAAAAAAGACGGTTTTTATCAATTTTTTGAGTTCTCACTTTCAACCAGAGAGTCCAGTTTGTTTTTGTTTTAAATTCTAATAAAAATTTAAAATTGTGTTTTGAGAGGCTGAACTGAATTTCTGAACCTGTTTTTTCATCGATATAAATTCATACAATGACGAAGTAATTTTGCTTCATTGTAAAAAGTTTGTTTTTGATTATTGCAGAAGAAAGTTTTCAGCTTGTTGGTTTAAAAGTGATGATTTGCTGATGAAAAGTTCCTCACAATTGAAATTTGCGGCATACTTAGTCGTATAGCTTGGTGGCCACTCAATTAGCAGAATGGTCTAAGAGCAGAATGGGTCCAAGAGCAGAAAAACGGAAGAATAATAATTTTTCTAAGCTAATCGGCAAATTAATTATCAGAAATGTCAAAAATACCAAGGCAACGAACATTTTATGCATAATTGAGTAATTTAATCAAGAATTTTAAAAAAAATATTTGAAAAACTTAACGAAAATAGTCAATTCGTTCATAATTTAGTCGTTTTCTTGGTAATTTCTGACGATTCTAATAATTGTTTTATCAATTAGCCCATATAAACCAATGTAAGTCAATATCGTTCCGTTTTTTTTCTGTTCTTGGACACATTCTGCACTTGGACCATTCTGCTTATTGCTCCGCCTCCGTATAGCTTCATACCGTTTGCTTCAACCATTGATATAATGTATGTTTGTATGAAAAATGTCGCGGCCATTTTTTGTAAATACAAACCAACGTTGTCTTCATGTCAGATGTTATGAAACCTGTACAAATGAGCAACCATAAGTAGCATTGCGCATTACAGCATTCTAAAACTTTCTAAATAATCAAGTAAAATATCTAACTAAAATTTGATCAAAACTACGGAAAAATCGTGTTCGTGCTGACTTTTTTCATTTTATATAAAGAAAATTTTGTTGGACTGTTAACTATTTATCAATTTCAGTTCAACTCACTTAATAAAACGAAGTGAAATTACACTCTCCAATTACAAAAAAGGAAAAGGCGCAAAGAGCGTGAAAAATTTCGAAAGTGATTTCATTTTAATTGAAAATAGCTATTAGGTTTTTCAAAATGAGTTAATAAAATAAATAAAAGTGTAAATCAAAAATTTTTTTGAAAACAAATCAGCTTTTTGCATTCTGTTTTTGATTAAACGGCTGACTTTCTGTTCAATGGTTAATGGTGTTTGTATTGTGACTGATTTTGTTTTTCGTTATAAAAAAACTGAATAATTTTTTCTAAATTCAGCAAAATTTTGAGTTTATGATTTTTCCTGCTTTTAGATTCGCGCCATAGCATGTTTAACAACGGAAACCTCATTTACGACAAAAGGAAACTGGAAGCTCAAATTACAGACAGCCAGACTTTCCCAGCTGAGTCGCAGCTAGCTCCGGCAAATTCCTCCGCAAAATCGATTTTCTACTCAATTCACAATTTCTACACTTCGTCAATTTCAAAGTTTCTAATTTCTCTAATAGCGTATGTGACTTATTTATTAGTGATTTCGTCGCTCGTTTTGTATGATTCCAAAACTCCAAATGTATTTGCCAAGGATTATACTCTGTTTATTTTAAATATCGCCCTACTTATGCAGAGTATTCAGGTATAAAAACATCAGTCAGACCTATTTGAAGCAACAGAGTTCATTTTTTCTGATTGAGGAAAAAAAATTATACGAGGGATAGAACAAGTATCAGTGTTTATTGAACAGCAAAAAGTTAGTTTTTTTTCTATCAATTCTGAGCTGGTCAAGTTAGGATGTATTATTATTTTGTTTTATTTGAATTTAACAAATTCCAACTTTCTAAGGTTTAATTTTTTTTCCAAATCAAGTTTTTATCAAAAATTCTAATCGTTTAGATTCGAGTAGAGTTTATAAAAACTCGTCGAATTCTAACTGGCAGTCATTTTTTTAGAACGTTTTTTTCTTGCAGTGTTTTATGTTTTTGTTAACTGTTCCTCATCTTTTAAACTCAAAGACATCCAGATAAATTAGTCGCACCAAACAAGTCTGACAGATTTTTGCTCAAATAAACAGCTGTTTTTCCAACCGCGAGTCTTCTTCGGCTACCGAGTGCAGCTGTGGTGTTACTGCGAGTGGAATCTAGTCGGGTGCTCCAGCATATTCCTCGGATTCCTCGGATTCGCTCTCAAAATGGCAGATCATCTGGTAAGTTTGCTTATGAATTTTTTGTAGTTTTGGAAACGTGTACTCGTTTTTTGAACTCGAAAACTGTAACCCCGCAAGTGGCATATTCTGAGGTTAGTTTGTTTTTCAAAGTTTTGCTTGTTTTGGGGCTAATTTTGATTTTTGTTTCGACAAACTCCAATTCTTAGCTCCAAAAACAACCGAATTAAATTAGTCCTAGAATTTTTTATCATCGTTATAAAATTTGATCTTGCTGCAAAAGTTTCAAGAAGAACTATAACTTGCAGTAGCAAAAGTCGAAATTTATATTTGGCTTGTGTAAAAAATTGTTTTATTGTTTTCTATTTGTTTTTCTAAAATTTGATTATTGTTCCTCCCCTGTGAATCATTAATTACCAGGGCCTAGTTAGTCTTCATGCCAATTTTGTAGAAATCAAAAAATGTGATCAAATTTTAATTGGATTTATTAAGGTATTGGTACAGGTATTGAAAAAGGAAAACAGTCTCATTGTCTGTCTCTTCCCATACTAGTTACCACCAATTTTTCTTCCTTAACTTATCACGACCTCCCGACATTTACTTTGATTGTTGGGTTGGCGATACTAATTGTGGGGAAAAGTAAGAGGAGTAAGTGGGGTGTTAAAATTGTGATAAATAATTTAGCAAAATTAAAACTACGAACAGGGATTTTATAATTGTATTTAAACCATTTTGCAAAATTAACTAGAAGTCAAGAGATTTTGAAAGCAAGTAGTATGTGAGTAAAGCAGCATTACGAGGCCAAACTGTGCACTGGAGAGGCGCAAAATGTTTTTGTCTGTGTGCTCCTGGATTCCAGAGACAATTCTTTGTACAAAATCCTAATGAAAGTCGATTCCATTTACAAAATTTCCGTGGATTCCGCGCACAAATAATTGTAACGTAAATTTTGTCGGCATATTAACTTTCTTGCGGATTCTGCAACGAGCGAATATATCTGGTTGTTCAGGATTCCGGAAATGTAGGCGGATTCCACGAAAGTAAGTGGATTCTGCAAACTTATGCGGATTCAGCGTATATTTTGCGGAATTCGCTGACAATTTGCGGAATCCGCTTTTATTTTGCGGATTCCGCTTACAGTTTGCGGATTCCACTTACAGTTGCGGATTACACGACAACCTCAATCTACTGAACACATATATTATTATTTGTTTATGGATTCCACAAACTATTCCGGATTCCGCAAATTTTGTTACGGATTCCGCAAAAATGCCTGTTTTGGAGCCATTTTGAGCAATACATTGTTATAATTTTTTTTCGCTGGAATTCAAAACAGCGAAGAACGTCAAAAAAGTAGCAATGTTACGGATTCCTCGATAAATCTAATTTTGACTTGCTGCGGAATCCGTTTACAATTTACAAAATGCACAGATTGGCTTCATAATGAGAAAAAACCGAAAATTGGAAAAGAATATAAAATTATATTCCATTATAATCCTTGTTAATGATTTTTAAATTGATTAAAATCAGTTCAAAATTTTCATAAAATTATGATTTTTAATGATCCGGGTCGAAGTCCCAGACTCATGTTCAGACTTTCGCGACAAAGTTTTGGTACGTCCAGACTTTCCAGACCAAAATTAGGCATGTCCAGACTTTGCCGACCAAAACCTGGCATTTCCAGACTTTCGCGAACATGATGATCCGTCGCGACTTTGGCGACCGGAGCGGAGATGGCGCGACCAAAGCATCGAGACTCATGTTTGGTATGTCCAGACTCTCGCGACCAAGAGTTGCCATTTCCAAGCGTTTGCGACCAAAAAAAACTCAGGCGCGACTTTCGCGACTGAGGCGGATACGGCGCGACACTGCGGCTCAGGTAACGGCATTCCCAGCGCGACCAAACTTAGTCGTTTCCAGATTTGCCAGATTTTGCGAGACTTTAAAAAAGTTTTTGGGCTTTTGCAACCAAGGTGGATACGGCGCGAATCAGGAAACGGTGCGACTCAAAAAGCAACGGCGCGACTCTTGAAACGGTGCGACTCAAAAAGCAACGACCCGAACTAACTTAGGCCCTAAATTGAAATTGTTTTTTGTTATAATGGTAATCTTTTTGCATCCAAAAACTGAAATAAAAATGCAATCGATTATGATTATCCATTTTACTTGAGTGCGGGGAATTTTGAATTTGGTTTAGCTGAAATTTCAAAGTTGGGTAAAACGGGGGAGGTAGAGATTTGGGAGTTGGGTGGTGGCAGTTACGGTTCTGATGTAGAGAATCTATTGAGGGGGTTAGATCGGTGTGTTGTCTTAACAATTCGTATTAATAATTCCAGCGTCAAACACTAATGTATGCACACTATTCCTCTCATGCCGGATGTAAGAGCAGCGGAGCCAAGCGGAGCAAGCGTATTCTACTTGCCGATACCTTGTTACGAATTTTCAATTGTTACGAATTGTCGCGCTACCGTTTGTTATTGAACATGTGTATGTTGAACTCATTTTTTTTCGGGCTAGATTTTTGCAGATTTTATCAACGGGTTTTTATCAATTAGAATCCCGGGATAACCTCCATAGACCGAAAATGCTAATCAGACAGTTCTATAAACAAAGTGTATGAAAACTACTATTCGTACACTTTTCATACATTTCGCTAAAATGAAGTGTTTGACTTTTCAAAGAACTTTTTTTCATAAAGCTGCGTAAATATTGGTGTAATCGTACTAAATAAAAAAGAACAAGTTTTTGTCACAAAAGTTACTAATCATTTAATTTTAATATATGAAAATTGTATGACTAACATTTTTTGATGACGACAACAAAAAGTTTTCAAGTAATTTTGGAATTGCCCTGAAAAGTTTTTTGTTGCTTCTTTCAACCGCAAATTAAATTTTGTACTAAAAAAATTGTTGTTTCTTTTTTTAGCCGCAACTTAAAATTTGTACGAACACGCAAAAATTTCTCTAATTATTTTTGAAATTACCCTGAAAAATTTTTCGTTTTTTTTCTCTCAACCGCAAATTCAATTTTGTACTAAAAAACATTTATTGTTTCTTTTTTAAACGCAAACTAATTTTTGCACAAAAACAACTAAAAATTTTTTTGAACAAATTTTGAAAACGCCCTGAAAATTTTTAAAAATTTTTTTCAACATTAAATTAAACTTTGTACTAAAAAAATTCATTGTTCCTTTTTTCAACCGCAAATTAAAATTTTGAAATAGCCCTGAAAACTTTTTGTTTCTTTTCTCAAGCGAAAATTAAAATTGGACTAGAAAAAAAACATTTTTTTGTTTCTTTGTTCTATCGCCAATTAAATTTTGTACTAGAACAACAAAAAAGTTTCCAAATAATTTTGAATTTGCCCTAAAAAATCTTTTTTTCAACTGCAAATTAAATTTTGTACTAAAAAAACATTTTTTTGTTTCTTTTTTCAACAGCAATTTAAATTTTGTACTAAAACGCAAAAATTTTGCCAAGTTATTTGGAAAATGCCCTGAAAATATTTTGTTTCTTTTTTCGACCGCAAGTTAAAATGTGTACTAAAAAAATGTTTCTTTTTTCGACGCAATTAAATTTTGTAAGGAAACAACGAAAAGTTTTCCAAGTATATTTGAAATTTTGTACTTGAGTTTCGAACTACTTAATTTTCCGAATCGATTTCAAAGACCCCTGAAACAACTCATGCGCTCGCCATTGATTTCAACCAATCACCTGCGATGCTTTTTTGTTTTTGTTCTCAAAATTCGAGAATGAAAAACTAAGGCCATTTATAAAAATCCAAAACAACTTTGAGATGTTTCTGAAAAATTGCTAGATGAATTTTGGAAAAGCTAAATAGCATATTATTTTAATCAGAAGCGAGATATCTGAAGCTATGCAAGAATGTGTGTGTAAGTCCGTTTACTCCGCTTACTCGTTAATATCTCGAAATATATCGCACTTTAATTGTCCCAAATTGACCATAATGGCAATATTCAAACCCCCATATCTTTATGAGAAATGATCACAGGTGAAATATCTAATCAGATTTAAGCTCAAGACTACAATACCTTTCGAATGATATTTAAAAAAACTCCCGTCAAAAATGGCTAGTTAAAAAGTCGAAATTTGTTTGAAAAAAAAACTCACCCCGAGCACAATTATCCCGTTACTTTCGTTACGAAAGTCGGAACAATAAACTCAAAAAATTACAGTGTGCGGTTGGCGTTTTATAATTTTTTATGCATTCAACTTCTGAAAATGTGTTTGTTCAAAATGAGGAGCACCGAACTGCCGCATGCATTTCATCTAACAAAACATCAATCATGAAGGCTCGAACTATAAAAGTTTTCATGAGGGCATTGGCGAAAAAAATAGAAAAGTTTTTCTACAAAATTTAATTAAAATATTTATAATGTATCGTGCTGATTTTTAGTTGTCAAAGTTATTCCTAAGAAAGTCAAAATTACCCGTTCACAGAATTCGATTTGCTATTTTTCTGTAGACATCCTTCTCTCTAATAAACGAGGCACTCTGTTTCTACTTGTCGAATTCAAATTTCTACTTTTTGACCTTATTTAATTTTTGCCCAAATATCAGATCCACTGTTTCCACATCTTGTCTGAAAGCAGTTTTTAAACGACTTCTATCGTTTCAAGCTGAAAAAGGAAATTTGAACTCAGAACAAAATAATCAAAATAATTATGGACTTTTAATTGTTTGATTTTTAAAAACATAATTTAAATTGATTTTGTTTCAGACTTCCTACTCCTTAAAAACTGAGTCAATTGTTTCTACTACCGTTCGATTTACAATTTATGCTTTTGACTTCTTCTTCTTTGCTCGCCTAAATGATGATATTTGTAAGGTTGCTATTAATAATATCTTGAAGAAAATGTTTTTTTTTTGAGCATTTGAACTCGCAAATAAATAATTATTTGAAAATCTTTCTGATAACAAGTTGTGAAAACTTGTTTTTTTTAGACCTCGTACTCTTCAATAAATGAGATCCACTGTTTTTATATCTAGCCTGAAAATAATTCTTAACACGACTTCAACCATTTCAAGCTGAAAAAAAGACTTTCGTTTTAACTACAAAAAGGTTGTATACACTTTTAATTGGAAACATACTTTAAATTTTTTTTTGTTTCAGACTTCATACTCCCTAATAAATGAAGCCCACTGTTTCTACTGTCTATCCTGCTGTCTGGCGTGGGTGAGACTGATCTCCTTCTACATCCTCAACAGCACTGTGGGTCCCCTCTGGATCATGTTGAGGAAGATGCTAGTCGAAGCTGTCTGCTTCCTAAGTGTCTTGGGGGTCATCACTCTGGCTGCGGGAATAACACTACAGGTAAAGCGCTTCGCTTTAGTGGTAACTGTTTTTTTGGTCAACAGTATTTTGACCTCATGTTCTAGTTTCAGTTTTCGTTTTGGTTAAAAATTTTCATCTTTTATCTCCGTTTTCGGAATGATTACTACAGCTGTATGTAGGTTTTTACACTACATAGTTACAAGTTATATTTTTCTCGGTTTTTCGGAGGGTCGTTTTAGATGTTTTTGCGTTTTATTTTATCCAACGCTGCTCTGCTTTCGGAGATATTACTGCGGGGAGTACACTGCAGGAATGCATTTTTTCGGCGCACAGTACCTCAATTTGGTTTTATATTTCTGGTTTGATATTTCATTTGAATTAAATTATCTTTGTTCGTTTCACTCTTTCGGAGTACATACCAAGGCTGCGGGGGTTTTCCTACAGGTCATAGCTTGATATTTGGTTGGTTGACTACTTTTTAGTTTTTTGGTGGGAAGGGGGGTTTGAGACATTTAATGAGTTCCAAGTTCAATTATCGGTAAACACTCTGTTTTCTGTAAACAAAATTCTGTGAACATGCTGGAATAAAATTACCTGATTTTGCATGGAGTTGGAGCGGATTTAGGGGTGGGGGACGCTTCCTCTCAGGGATTCCATCCCCTTCCTACCCAAATGGTCCCCTTTGTACCTTTGTAATATTTTGAGATATCCGTTTTTAGCTGACGGACCCTAAGATTTTTCTAACGGCGTCTTTCGGCGCCAATGTAAACTATTTTTGAGGCGGGAATGCGCGCAGAGAATTTTGAATGCTGCGCAGAAAATTTGTCCGAAACAGGGCCTTTTCCGAAAATTTGTCCGAAACAGGGACTGATGTGATTTCAGATTATTTAGTATTGTTAGCAATTGTTACATAACTTTTCTAACAGGTCACATACTTGTGACCTCCACTATTTCATTCTCTCCGGCGAGAGACTGCTCTCTTCACTATTTAATGTCTTAACTTTAGACTAATTCACCTTTATTTTTTTATTCTTTCGATTGTATAAAGTAGAGTTAGCTGTAACAAAGTAATATTTTATCATGGCGCAGTCGAATAACGAATCTAACGTGAGAGGAATACCTCCATTTTGTCAGAACCATACGGTAGACCCACCTATTCCCTGGGAAGATTGGAGTAATCTCTTCCATTTAGCTATTATCGCAAAAGAAAACATAGACATCGAAAATCTACAAAACCCCTCGGACAAACACCATCCCCAACCACCATCCTTCCGACGGATAGCGAATCGGAGAGCCAAAGAAAATCTAGAAAAGACAGAAACATTCAAGAAAAAAGACGATACGACGATACGACGAGGAAGAAACGACATCTTTTAAATGAGAAACCAATAAATTTAACGGTATGAGAATAGAAGAAGCCGACAAAAAATTATGATCGATCCTGTACTTAGCCCAAGGAAACGAAGAAAAACGAATTTTTGGGCAACATTTCAGAAAGGTAAAAAAACTACAAAATTCATTCAAAGAGTTTTGGGATTATTTAGCAACCGCTTTCGTCAGGAAGACGAACGTCACCTTTGAAAGGCACAAACTACTAAACAGAAAACAACGAGACAGAGAGAACAGTTTTGGGGAGCCTTATCCGAAATGGCTAAAAAAAGGTGAAATAGCCGCGCTAGAGGAAAAATGGATCAGGGACATCTTCATAAATAACATGAAAAACTATGACAGATTACAAAAAACTCCTGACCGAAACACCACCTCCGCGAGAAGCACTAATTGTGGCACTCATCGATAAAAAGGAATTTCAAACTATTCAAAACTAAAACTTTTTTTAAATCCAACGGATCACCCATACACAAATCTCATAATCATTTTAATGTCAAAAGAGAACCAACACTGAATATTAAACGAAGCAACACCTGTATGAAATGTGGCGGGACCTTTTCAAAAGGACATTCAGCTGTTTGTCCGGAAAAGGACACTACTTGTGCATCCTGTAAATCCGAAGGCAATTTTACCAGACTCATCCGGATGTAAATATGGACCAGGTAAATAGAGAAAATTTTGGCGTGATTAACGCATTGTCAGAATTTGGACAAAGCGAAAATGACGATTATTCTGTATTAAAGGTAAGTACAATATTCAGCGACGATGGATAAAAGTTAAAGAAACTACTAAATATTGGCCTCGGTAAAAAAACCCAAAAAATCCTAAAATACAGGTGGAGTCCACTAGCCCGGTTAGCTTCCTCAACAAGAACGATCTCCACGAATTGACACTACGAGACCCCTACTTAAAAATTTATCCGTTGGATAAGGCAACCAATGACTTATACTGCGGGTTCACGGACAACGCCATGAACATTTCTGAAAAAGTGATCCTACTTATCTTTTCAAACGGATGGTCACACGATGACTGCCATTTCTTTTCGACAGAAGGACATGAGATGAACATACTCGGAAACAACAGTTTGCCTGAAGTGGGGATAGAAGTATCACAGAAGTACTTTCCATACTTCCAGACAAGCCAGACGTGTAAGCTCATAGATTTTATTTCAAAAGCAGAATTAGAAAAGGAATTATTAAGATCTCCAAAACATTTAAAAATTTAATCCTTTGGGTTGGGAAAACAAAAAGTCAGATGAAAATCACTCATTTTCACGATTCGCTAAAAACAATTCAATTAAAAGGAAGATGAGTCCGCCTCCACTTACTTGATTTAGTTAAAACTGAACTTAATCAATTAAAAAACGAAGGACACATCAAGAAGTTAGAAAATTGTGACGAAGATCGCTTTATCAGCCCAATTGTTAATACTTTTAAAAAAGAAAAATCGGTCAAGTTGGCTCTAGACTCTATTTTAATTAACAAACAGATACATAAGAAAAAATATCAGATGCCAAATTTCCACGAACTTTTAGACAATGTAGCGGCACAAATATCGAACGATTCCGTTAGGGAAGTTTGGTTTACAAATTTGTATTTTAAAAATGCATATAATCAACTAGCCTTAGACAAGTTTACTAGCAACCAATTTTATTTTAGTATAGTGGGCGGCAATAATAACGGTAGCTACAGATTTTTAACTGGTTTTACGGCTTAGGTGATATGCCTTACGAATTCCAAAGAGTCATGGACTCAACGGTATGTACGATCCCTTTTACAGGGTTGTTATTTAGTTGACGTTTTAATTGCATCCAAAGGAAGTTTTTTAGACCACAAAAATTTTGTATCGAAAATCTTATCAACGTTAGACGAAAACAACTTCGCCGTCAAATGGTCAAAGTGCAAATTCTTTCAAAAACAAATCGAATGGTTGGGATATAAAATCTCAAATACAGGAATTTCTCCTTTATTCGACAAAACGAAATCAATAAAGGATTTACCCATTCCAAAAAATCTGAAAGAGTTAAGACCATTTTTCGGATTAATAAAAATTGCATTAAATTCGTACCAAGTTTAGCATCCTTAGGAAGTCCACTCCGGTCTCTGCTAGAAAAAGAAATCTAGTTTCATTTGGAATGTCGACCATACAAAGGTTTTCGAGAAAATCAAACAGGAGATTATCAATCTTACAGAAATTACTCACTTCGACATAAAATTTAAACCAGAATAAAAATTGACGCTTCACATAATGGATTAGGAGCCTCCCTAAAACAACTCCACGGGAACGATTGGAAAACTATCTCATTTGCTTCACGGTGGTTGAACCCTCACGAGTCGAAGTACTCTACAAATGAATTAGAACTTTTGGGAGTTGTCTGGGCTGTTGAACATTATAAAATCTACTTTCTTCCCTATGAACAAACTACCGAAATAAAACTTACCACAGCAGATTAACAAGATGGGTTGATCGATTAGGACCGTTTAAAATCACATCATTCCGTGCCCAATCTTAATCACTGCGGCGGAGTCTACCACGACTACACAAGTAAATGGCACCAAAAACAACTCGGCCAGACCACTGTAGAAGAATTCTATAAGAAACTTTCCAGTCTACGAGATAGTGGATTCATCAGACGAGGCCGTACCTACTTCAAAGTCTCCACCTAAACGTGGTAACGATCCACCTATTATTCGACGGTCTAGAAGAATTGAAGGTCCGCCAAAATTCTATGGTAAGAGATACTTCATAGATGTCGCAGATTTACCTCAAGTGACCCCTGATTCGGCATCGAATCCGATCACACTTGACAACAATGGCAGAGAAAAACTGGACACTACCCACAAAGAGGCTCCCTTGGAGATAGTGAATGTTGAATCGAATTCTTCTCCGCCCGTTCAAAAATCATAGTCATCGACAGACGAATCTCTAAGAATTGCGGTGGACAATTTTGATGATTACACGGAGCTCGACAGCGAACTTTTTAATGGCGAATTAGAAAATTTCATGAACTGTTATGGAAACTGATTATCATAGCTTACCGTAAACATTTTTGCCTTTCGGTGCTATTTTTTTTTCTCGTCAAGTTTAATTTTTATCTCTTTTGTTCCCGATACTCATTGGTTTGTTAACCATCCTGACTTTCATAGCATTCCATCGGATCAGCTCAATTCAAGTACACTATGGATGCTTTAAATTTCATTTTTTTTTCCCAAAAGGGGGAGAAAGGATGAAGTTAAATAGATAATCAGTTAGTTTTACAATTCAAAATTTTTCCGGCTTGGAGGATTGATAAGATTTCAACTTAATTAGTATTGTTAGCAATTGCTACATAACCTTTCTAACAGGTCACTTACTTTTGAACTTCACGTATTCAATCTCTCCGGCGCAGAGACTGCTCTCTTCACTATTTAATGTTTTAACCCTAGACTATATCACTTTTATTCTTTTATTCTTTTTAATGGTTAAAGTAGAGTTAGCTGTAACAAAGTAGCACTTTATCAACGACCTAATAAATTCGACGAAGTTTTTAAAAATCTGCTTTCCCTTGAGAAAATCCCAGATCCGCCCCTGTTTTCAAAATATCTATTTGTGTAAGCAAAAATTTCAATTCAATTTGAAACTTTTTACTCGAATTCTTCAAAAATAAAAGAAAATAATGTCCTATTTTGATTCCAGTCTGAATTACTGCGTTTCAAACAAAAGCTTTTTCAGTACTTCTAGAAATTTTTTTTCTAGTAATTATTCGTTATTAACTTTTTGCCGTTTTTGACTTTGATCATATTTTTTTTGCGTTTGATAGATCCGTTGCCCGGGTCGAGATCCCGCTCAAAAACCGCTCAAGATATGAGCGGTTTGAGCGGTTTTTCAGCAAGATTTGGGCGGTTTGGACGTTTTTTTTGGAAAAACCGCTCAAACTGCTCAAATCTTGCTTAAAAAACCGCTCAAAAACCGCTCTTTTCTTGCGGTGATGTTTGAACGTTTTTCAAGCAAGTTTTGTGCGGTTTTTGAGCCGTTTTTGAGCGGTCTTATAAAGAAAACCGATTAAAACTAACAAAAAGGCCTGGAAAGGTAATGTAACCCAGGTTGACATCCATAAACCGAAAATGCTTATTTTAAATTTCCCCACACCGAAAAAGCTTATCATACAAATGCCTGCATCAAATGTATGGAAAAATGCTAATCATACAATTTTCATACCATTGCAAAAAAACCATTGAAAAAAGATTCAATCTAGTTTCTCCGGCTATTTGAACCAAATACAACAGTCTAGTGATGAAAAATAACTACGTTTATTTTTTTTTTGAAAAAAAATGGTTATCATACAACTTCCATAATGAAAATTGTATGATAACCTTTTTTTTATGAAAGCAAAGATTTTCAGAAATTGTTCAAACTTGTTTATAAACAAATTTCAATTATTTCAGAGTGCTTTTGCTCAATTTAAAAGACATTGCTCATCAAAAACGAAAATTCAATTTGAAGCTAAAAAAAACAGTTATCATACAATTTGCATATATGAAAATTGTATGACAACCATTTTTTCATAAAAGGCAAGATGTCCAGAATAATGTTAAACTTGTTTTTAATCAAATTTAAAGTAATTAAGAGTGCTTTTGCTCAATTTAAAACACCTTGCTCATCAAAAACCAGGTTTTTTGCTCAATTTTAATCTTCATAATTTGTTAGCTTATGACGAGTAAAACTGAGAAGTTCGGAGCCACACAGTTCTTCTTTTCCGAAAATGACTCGGGGTAGGTTGGGGTTAAGGTTAGGTTAGGATTAGGGTTTCTTAAGAATAATTTCACAATTTGTGGAAAACAGATTTCTTGCCACAACAATTCTCTTTGGATCAACTTTGAATAACTGACGCAATATTCGTCTTTGGGAAAACAAAACAGGTTTGTCCATCCATTTATCAAGTGATACTCATGATTTATCTCATTTTTTTTGAGAATTTAAGCCAAAAAAACGGTTTCAAAACTTTTTTTACTTTGAAATGAGATAATTGTCATGATCTTAGAATATTATGATGTCATTGAACTGTATTATCAAACGTTATCCAGGAGAAATAGTCCAGGAGAAAACACTTTTTAATTGTGGATAGTTTCTAACGGAAATTTTGCTGTTTGTCTATTATATATTACTGTAAATATCATCAAATTGTTCATACTGATCAAGTATACAAGAATCACTAACCGATTAGTCCAGCTACTACCAACAACGATAGCTGTAATAATATATAATTAATGCTTAAAATCTTGCTTTAACATATATCTCAAGTCCTGAAATTTTACAATTTCCATTTATGAAAAATTGTTTATCCTACAATTTTCATTTATGAAAAAATGTTTATCCTACAATTTCTATATATGAAAAAATAATTTTTCTACAATTTCTATAAATGAAAAAACGCTTAACCTAGCGTTTTTTTTTACAATTTTCTGAGTCTATGAAACTGTAAAAAAATGTAGGACAAGCATTTTTTCATATATGGAAATTTTAGGATAAGCATTTTTGGTCAACCCACGCTAAGATGCAGTTGAAATACTATCTACAATTAAAAAAGTGCTTAACCGTTCTCAAATCAAGCAATATGTTTTTCGATGTCTTGACCAAAAACAATGTGAGCGACCTTTTTCAAATGCTCGAGCAAAATAACCACTGGAAAATGTGTAAAATTTGAGCGGTTTGAGCGGTTTTTTTTAGACAATTACGCTCAAAATCTTGCTTCAAAATGAGCGGCTTCAGCGGTTGTTGAGCGGTTTTTTCGATAAACCGCTCAAAACCGTTCAAATCTTGCGCGGGTTTTGAGCGGTTTTTTTAGATAAAACCGTTCAAAAACCGCTCAAACCGCTCATTTTGAAGCAAGATTTTGAGCGTAATTGTCTGAAAAAACCGCTCAAACCGCTCAAATCTAGCTTCAAATTAGGTGAAAAATCTTGACTCGGGTGGTGCTGCTTATTCAATATTTGGATAAATTTTTCGGAAACATATTTTGTATGGACTTGTTGAATGGTCTTGTCTAGGTGTGTATGAACTCGTTCGACTACTCCGATCCATACAGTGGCTCACTCCAGTGGCTCATACTGAGGCCATACTTTATGTACAATGGACAGAAGTTCGTGTCCACTGTCCTCTCAACAGCCATGGTCCCACCACCAGGTAAATTGGGAAATATTAACACTCAAATTAAATTGTTTTTGGACTTTTAATCAGAAAAATAAGAAGTTTTGTACAAATTACAACCTCAAACCTAAGAGAACTTCGTTTGACCAAATAGTCCGTTTTTAGGCCTCTGTGTGCTATTTAAGTTATAAATGTACCCATTACTGATAAAAATCGTTGGAATGTGCTTGTGCTTAGTTGGTTTTTTCAAACCCTCATAGTATTTTAAATATAATCCCAAAATAAGTCTTGTACTGAACTAAATTAACTCAAACTTATTTTCTCAAACCAGGCGTACCATCAACAGGTAATAAAACACTTCAGAACATGATAGAGTCAATTCAAATGGCAGCCATTTGATATAAATAAACTTTCCAGATATTGGCAATAAGTCTCCTAGCCCTTGAAAACTTTAGCAATTTTTTTTTTACTTTTGCCTGTCACCTTCGGATCGTTCCCATTTTTTCTCCCCATGGTACCGAGTGGAGAATTGACATTCTTGCAAAGAAGCCTTTCAAGGGTTAAGCGTATGTGAGTTTGGAAAATAGGGGAGTGGAAAATAGTCAACAAGATTCAACGTATATGTGACGGTTTTACTGGTAAATCTCCTCAAGTAGTCAAACTGGTAATTTTTGAACCGCAATAATTTTAACAAGTTGAAATTGTTTATTTATTCAGCATTGAGCAAAGGACAGCATTATATTTCAGATTGTAAAAAAATCTAGCAAAAACACTTAGCTAAGAAGTCCAAGAAAAATGACTGAATAAAATAAACCATCCGTGTAGAAAAATACAATAAAGTTCTTCGAAAGTCGGAACACTTGTTTTCAATGTAAATTAAGAACTAAATAGTAGTGAAGACCCAAAGGCTTCTTTACCGAATATCATTTATCAATTACTTTTTTTGTTGGTCTCCAATACAATCAATTAAGATCAAATAAAATTATTAAAATGTTACTAATCAAAGATTGTAAAGTTATTAAAAAATCTTTAGACAAAAAATTCAATTTTGAACGATAAACAAATTTCCTAAATTTGAGGCAATTTTTTTTCCTTGAAGTTCAATCCTTCTTAGCCGATTATAAAAGCTTATAATAGATTGAAACGTCAAGATTATAATCGAAACTCATACATTTCTTTTCAAATGTTGTTGCTTTACTTTGCATTATCTGGAGTGTTTTTCTCGTTTTCATTTTTGAAAAATGTGAAAATGGTTGCAAAATTCAATGGGCTGGTTTTGCCAAAAACTTATGGTTTGTTCTTCGGCCAATTTTTTTGTCCACTAAACACTTCATGTTCAACCCCCATCCCACCTTCGCAACCAGCGCGCTTGCTAACAAAATCCACCCTTATTTGGAAAATTATGATTTTTTTCGTACGTCCATTTTGGAAAAAATTCCTGCAGAATCAATTTAAGACAGTTTTTAAAATAGTTCTTAAATGTAGCACTAAGAACAAAATCATTTTCATTTGTGTTCGTATGTATTTTTATGGTGGTAAATTTGAGTTTTGTTGCCTTGAAGAAAATGTCATTGAAATTACCATTGCTATCTCTTCATCCATCATTGTACGTTTTTTTTTATCGTCCATTAAGAGAAAAAAACGGTAAGATCTATAAAGTTGATTGAAACTTACGGTTTCATTGTTTTCTTTTTTGGTTTTTGTTTTAAACTTAATTTTTTGTGCATTGCCCATCATTGTTCGCAAAACGGTACCCCACTCCCCCCCACCCCACCACCTCATTTGATTATCAACTCTTGAATTTAACGAGTCATGTTTGTTTTTATATGGTTTAGTATGGAGACCCCATATTTATGTCATGGCTCAACCATTACGCATATATATTTTTTCAAACAATCAGACAAAGCATAGAAACATTTAACTTGTAATAGTTAGCAGGTGGGAGATAAAGAAAATAGTTGTTCTTTTGCCAGTTGAAACTTGAATTTTTACTCTCACACAACGTGACCTAATCATCATGATGTATCAAAGTTTATTTCGTTTTCTTGACTTTTAAAATTGTTTTATTTAAGTTTTTGACATTTATTATTACAATTCTGAAGATACTCGTAGAATTATTGCATCAATTTGGACGAGCTCAATTTGTATAAATATTGTTTTTTTGTAGGTGTTAACGTGACCGAAGAGTTCTTGGCCGAAAAAAAGAACTTCATCTCCATTTATATGTGGCTATTGCTCATGTTTCTGTGGGTGGGAACTGCTCTGATGCTCAATCTGCTAATTGCTCTCTTCAACGAAATATTCAAATTCATCAACCAGAGGTTAACATTTTTTCAAAATTGTATCTCAAAATCAATGATTCGTTGGCTCTTTTTCCTTTTCACCCCCACCTCACACGAGCATCAATTTTACGGTGTAACGAGTGGTTTTACAAGGTTAATTATGAAGACCAAATATGTTTGCCATGGCCTTATTAGTCCGTATGCCAACTTTCAAAACAATCGAATTTTGTAAACAAAAGTTAAATTTGTAAAATTTTGCAGGTGGGGGGGGGGGGGGGGGGGGGGGGAAGGAAAAGGAGCTGATTCGTTCTTTTATTTATTTTTTACTTTTTGACTCTTATTTTTTGAAAAACCACAAAACTCCGGAATTCTCTGATTTTCAGACTTTTTTTGATCAAACCCACCGGGAACAAAAAAGATAATGATCCAGAAAAGTTTAATCAAATGATAAAAACATATGGGGCTTCAAAGTTAGTATTTTTGCAGGTCTCATTTCGAGTGGAAAGCCGAAAATTTCTGTCTTCAACGCGAATTCTCAGACCGACCAGTTTTACCAGCGCCGTTTTCAATCTTTGAGTCTGTTTATAAATTATTTTTTTCCCGCCGACGAAATGAACAACCTCAAACCTCACAAGAACTTGAAAGCCAAGACGAAAAGTTGTCGACAATGTTTCAACGTAAATGGGCGACGGAAGTTTTGGCTGAAAAGCAGAAAAAAGTGCCACTAAAAGAGTCCGTTAAACAGACGATCAAATCGGCCGACAAACAACGAAGCAGAATTGAAGATTTTGACATAATTATGAAAGAGATGTTCAGGTTGTACCAGGATAAAAGCCGGAGAGAGAAAGAAAAACTACTCGAGTCAGATGCAAAAAGCGAAGAAACGTTAGAAGACTTGGAAATTTGATAATAACGAAGAAATGAAAATACACAAAATTTAGCATTTGTAATTTATTATTGTATAATTCTGCTTGTTTTGCGCTAGAAACAAAATCCTTTGCTCGCATTATGAACAGATGCCAGCAAAAGTTATATCTAGTTGTATAAACATATATATGTATATATAGGGGTGGGTCTAGGGTGTTCTCGAGGGGGGGGGGGGGGGATTTTCAAAAATTTCGCCTTTTTTTTCAAAGTCGACCAAATTGTTTTTCTGATCTTTCTCAAATCACAATGAAGACTCCAATTTGACCAATTTTTTTTGTGCCGCAGGCAATTTTTCGGAAAAATAGGCCAAAAGAGCGTTTTTAGGCACTGTTTGGAAAAATTTGACCAAAAAATTGCGTTTTTTCGGCGCGCGCTCCCCCTCTCAATTTGAGTATACTTTGGGTTTTTTCGGCGCGCGCTCCCCCTCTCAATTTGAGTATACTTTGGCGCCAAGGGCGCCTTTAGAAAAAAATTTAGGGTCAGTCAGCCAAAAAGGGATATCTTAAAATAGTACAAAGGGGGGGGGGGCATTTGGGTCGGCATGGGGTCGAATCGCTTTGCGAAAAAATCATTTGCTTAAAAAATAAATCACAAAACATGGCGACTTTCTTGAAAATGGAAAAATGGACAAAAATCTGAGTTTTTCTAAAAAAAAAAACTAGTGCAAAGTACATGAATTTAACAACTTAAGTAATCAGCACATATGCAAAGAATTTCGATTAGGTGACCGCTCGACTGGTATAAAACTCGAGTAGCATAAAAGTTTTAAAACATGATAATGTATCCACTAGCATTAATTTGACGCCTTTGTTTCTCAAAAATACAAAACAACAACCATAGTCTGTTCAAATTGAAACAAATTTGAATTTCTGTAGAAAAAAATTTGAGCCAATTAGAAATTAAGGAATCAAGTAGCAACTCAAATTGATCAACTTAACAATCATACGTCCACCCTCTAACATCCGAACCCCCCACCCAACAAGTTCCCCTCAATCATCCTACCCAACCCAACAAATCCCTCACGAGAAAGTGGTGGGGGATTGTTAAATAGATCGAGTTTGAATGCTTGGGGGGGGGGGGGGGGGGGGAAGATGTTAACTTGGTCAAATTTATTTAGTGATGTTGTTCGAAATACATAATTTATACAGAAATAATTTTCAAAATTACAACTTGGCTGAGGGGTATATTCAAGGGTATATTCAAGCGAGGAGGGAGGGGTTATTT